CCATTTTGATTTGGTTTTTGTAAAAGATGAGAGATAGGGATCTAGTTTCACTTTTCTGCATACGGTTATGATGTTTTCCTTTTTCTTTTTCTTTTTTTTTGAGACAGAGTCTCACTTTGTTGCCCAGGCTAGAGTGAGTGCTGTGGCATCAGCCTAGCTCACAGGAACCTCAAACTCCTGGGCTCAAGCGATCCTACTGCCTCAGCCTCCTGAGAGGTTGGGACTACAGGCAGGCACCACCATGCCCGGCTGATTTTTTCTATATATATTAGTTAGCCAATTAATTTCTTTCTATTTATAGTAGAGATGGGGTCTCACTCTTGCTGAGACTGGTTTCGAACTACTGACCTCGAGCAATCCGCCCACCTCGGCCTCCCAGAGTGCTAGGATTACAGCATGAGCCACCGCGCCCGGCCATTATGGTGTTTTTCAAGTACCATTTATTGAAGAGACTGCCCTTTCTCCACTGCATGTTCTTGGTTCCTTTGCCAAAAATCATGGATATATATCTGGGTTCTCTATTCTGTTCCATTGGTCTATGTGTTTGTTTTTATGCTGGTACCATGAAGGTTTAGTTACTATGACTTTGTAGTAAATGTTTTTATTAACATATTTTGTACATTATATTTGTACATATTTATGGGGTACATGTGAAATTTCAATTTTGAAATTTTGTTACACTTATAGATGTAGTAAGGTCAAGTCAGGGTATTTAAAGTATCTATCACCTAAGTATTTATCATTTCTATATGTCATTTCAAGTCCTCTCTTCTGTTTTTTTTTTTTTTTTTTTTTTGAGACAGAGTTTCACTCTGTTGCCAGGGCTAGAGTGCTGTGGTGTCAGCCTAGCTCACAGCAACCTCAATCCTTCTGCATTAGCCTCCCGAGTAGCTGGGACTACAAGCATGTGCCACCATGCCTGGCTAATTTTTAATATATATTTTTAGTTGGCCAATTAATTTGTTTCTATTTTTACTAGTGACAGGGTCTCCCTCCTGCTCAGGCTGGTCTCGAACTCCTGAGCTCAAATGATGCTCCCATCTCGGCCTCCCAGAGTGCTAGGATTACAGGCATGAGCCACCACACCCAGCCTCTTCTACTGTTTTGAAAAATACAATACATTGTTTTTAGCTATATTCACCTTACTCCACTATCAAACATTAGAATTCCTTCTATCAAATTACATGTTTGTACCCACTAACCAACCTCTCTTTATTCCCTTATCCACTCATATACACTTCCCAGTCTTTGGTATCTATCATTCCGCTCTCTACAATCCTGTGATCAACTCTTAGCTCCTACATATGAGTGAGAATATGTGATATTTGTCTTTCTGTGCCTGGCTTATTTCACTTCACATAATGACCTCAAATTCCATCCATGTTGCTGCAAATTACATGATTTCATTCTTTTTTATGTCCAAATAGTATTCCCTTTCTGTGTGTGTGTATACATTTTCATTATCCATTTATCCCTTTATGGGCAATTAGGTTGATTCCACATCTTTGCTATTGTGAACAGTGCTGCAATAAATGTGAAAGTGCATGTATCCCTTTGATATATTGATATATTTTCCTTTGGATAAATACCTAGTAGTGGGATTGCTGGATCATATGGTGGTTCTATTTTTAGTTTTTGAGAAATCTCCATACTATTTTTCATAGTGGCTGTACTAATTTACATTCCCACCATCAGTGAATAAGAGTTCTTTTTTTTCTATATCCTTGCCAACACCTGTTATGTTTTGTCTTTTTAGTGATAGTCATTCTGACTTGGATAAGATAATATATCATCGTGGTTTTGATTTGCATTTCCCTGATGATTACTGATATGAACATTGTTTCATGTACCTGTTGTCCATTTGTATATCCACTTATGAGAAATGTTCCCTGGAGGGAGATCTGTCTCTGCCTCAACCCACAGGAAGCATTGGGAGTTCCTGAAGGCAAAAATATCCCTGAGGACAAAGAGACAAAGAGGGGAGGTGGAACTACCATTCCCAGCCCTGGAAGCTCTGCTCTGTAATTTAGCAAAAGGAAACACCAAATCAGAGTGGCTGTTCAACAGCACCGCACAGTAGGAGGTTCATTCCACAGGTCCTCTGGGAAAGAAGAACCTACCAAGCCTTCCCACACTACCTGGATATCCCCTTTGGGACCACCCCCATTCAAGATGAATGGCACTCTAATTGTTTACTAGAACTGAGGCAAACTTGGGCTGAAGGTGCCACCTTGTGCCAAAATGGAAGCCATGACCTAGTGGGAATGAAAAAGTAAGAAAACCAACAAGTAAATTACAAAGAATCTCTAAGCAAACATACCTGATAAGAAGCTAGACAGAGATGACTGGAATAAGTTGTTAATTCTTCAATGAAAATCATAGATGTACATCCACAAGAAACAATAGCAAACAGGAAACCATGATCTCCTCAAACAGAAAAAGCAAGGAACCAGTGACTGACCCTAATGAGAAAGTGATATGTGAATTCTGACTAAGAATTCAACAGAGCAGTTTTAAGGAAACTCAGTGATTTCCAAGATAACACAGAAAAGCAATTCAGAAATTTGTCAAATAACTTTAACAAAGAAATTTAAATAATTTTAAAAAACAAAAATCTTGGAACTGAGAAATACATTTGCTGAACTGAAAATTTCATTAGAGGCTTTCAATAGCGGAATGGATCAATCAGAGGAAAGAATCCATGAGCCCGAAGACAGGCTATTTGGAAATATACAGTCAGAGTAGAAAAAATAAAAAGAATAAAAAGGAGCAAAGATTGCCTATAAGATATAGAAAATTATCTCAAAAGACTAAATCTAAAAATTGTTGGTATTCAAGAGGGAGTTGAGCAAGAGCAAAGGATAGAAAGCTCATTCAAAGAAATAACTTTCTAAAACTTGAAAAAGAGATAAATATCCAAGTATAGGAAGGTTAGAGAATACCAAAAAGATTCAACCCAAACAAGGCTACCTCAAGGCATATAATAATCAAACACTTAAGAGTCAAGGACAAAGAGAGGATCCTAAAAACAGCAAGAGAAAATAAGTAAATGACATAAAAAGGAGCTCTAATTTGTTTGGCAACAGATTTTTCAACAGAAACCATATAGCCCAAGAAGGAGTGGAATGACATTTTCAAAGAGCTGAGAGAAAAACAAAACTGTCATCCAAGGATATTGTACCCAGCAAAGCTATCCTTCAATTACAAAGGACAGATAAAGTCTGTCTGCTTCCTCCTCTGAAAAGCCAGAGAGTGCCAGAGACTATGTGTTTCAGCGAGGACTAGGTGACACGCCATAAAGAAGAGGACAGCGATGAGAAAGTGGGCTGTGTGCCAATACCAGCTCTCTTGACAATTGCTATATTTCTAGGAAAACTACTTGTTTCAGTGTAAGACTCTAAATTACAAACACTGTGATTAAGACATTTGCTGAATTGTGTTGGGAGTAAAATGGAAACACAGGTCTGAAGGGTGGGGAAGGAATGAGCACATTATGATCTAGAGCTGGATGGGCCTGGGTGATTCTGCAGCAGCATGCTATGGCTAACCACAGGCTCAGGCCAGGGGAGGTGATATGTGTGTTTTGTGGCGACCAAAAACCCTGGCCAGTTGGTGTTGGGGGTGGGGGGAGAGGAACAGCTGCTGACAGATGGTAGATCATTTCTGACTGCATTAATGAATGGTGGTAAGCTGTGGCAGATGCATAATAGGAGATAATCAGAAGATTAACTACGTTTGCCTTCGTAGTCATTTGAAGACAGGACTTAGATATCCTTCTCTGGCCCAGAGCTTTTGTTTATTTGTGCCACTTTGGAGTGTGGCTTTATCTCCAGGACTTCTCCCCTTGCTCCGTTATGTTGGAATTTCCATCTATGAAGCATTAGTGAGGGATTGAAAATAGGGTATGAGACCTGGTTCTTGAGCTCATGGGAGCACTGAGTGTACGACCCTGGTCATAGCCTCTGACCACCATGGGCCTCAGATTCCTTTTATGTGTCTTTATCAGGTTATTTTGAGAACTTATGAAGTTAATCTGTATAAAAAGACTCTAATATTAAAATTCCATGCGTGTACTTTGTAAGGCAAGTAGTAGTCCAATTCATTCCCGTGATCAGTTGTTCATTCATTCATTCATTGTATTTATCAAGTCTCTGGCACCAGTGAAATAATGGAGCCATGCTGTGGAGTCTACTCTGGGAAGAGCTGGGCGTGCTGGCCCATTCTCCACCATGCTGTCCAACTCCTCCATGCAGTCACTGTCCTTTTGGGTTGGATGCATGCTCTCTTCTATGGGACAGGGAGATGGTTCAGAGCAGGTTTCAAAGAACTTTTATCAGCTGGGTGTGGTGGCTCATGCCTATAATCCTAGCATTTGGGGAGGCTAAGGTGGGAGGATTGCTTAAGGCCAGGAGTTCTAGACCAGCCTGAGTAAGAGCAAGACATTGTCTCTTCTAAAAATAGAAAAATTAGCAGGGATGGTGGTGTGTGCTTGTAGTCCCAGTTACTTGGAAACTGAGGCAGGAGGATTGCTTGAGCCCAGAAGTTTGAGGTTATTGTGAGCTTTTATGACACCACTGCACTCTAGCCTGGTCTAGGCCGAGGAAGACCCTGTCTCAAAAAAAAAAAAAAAAAAGAACTTGTGTGAGTCAAAACTAAGCTTCCAAAAGCAGCAATATCCACACAGATGTAGTGAAATAAAGCAAGTTCCCCAGACTCATAGTAAGGTACCGAGAAAGCACACGGCTCACTGGACTCAGCAGCCTCAATAAACAAGAGCAAGACTTGCAGTGGACAAGCTACAGATCATTTGGGTGTCCCGGCTGTGCTCTGAATTCTTTCCCAGGAGTGGCTTCTCCACCTTTCCTGGAGCTCTTGCAGGAAGGGGCTTTGCCTTGCTGGTGGAATCCCCGTGGTCTGACCCCATGCTTGCCCACAGGAAGGCCTTGTGTGGTAGGGTGGAGTTAGGGCAATGATGAGCACCCTTGGTTTTGGACTCGTAGGTTGGAGCCCTGCCCCGGCTGTGTGACGTGCTGCGGGTGCTGCAGGAGGAGCGGGACCAGTGCCTTCTGGAACTCTCCAGAGAGCCAACGGGAGACCTGCGCACGCAGCAGCCGGTGACAGGTATGAGGCTCGCCTCGGCGCCATGTCCGTCCTTGAATGTGGATTGAGTCCAGTCCCACTGGGTGGGGGAGCTTGTCTTCTGGGCCAGGATGGGATGTGGGGGCTGGTCTGGCTTCATCCACTCAGACAGTCAGCTGGGGGGTCTGGAGAAACCTGGAGAGCAGACTGCACGGACCCCAAAGCCAGACCTTCCCCACACTTCCCTTCTCTGGGCCTGTAAGTACAGCCAGAGTTTTCTTACCATCAGTGGGTGCGTGGCTTGGCTCGGGTAAGAGTTTGGTGGGAATTGCTTTGCAAGGCGACTGCCCCCTCATCCATTCTTTTACCTCCACTGCCAGCTCCGTGAGTGAGGGCGTGGGGAAGGAAGTGTGGGGTCGTTAAAAGTGGGCTCCGATGCGGAGTGACGCCCCCTGGCTGTGTGACTGCAGACAAGCGATTTAACCCTCTGAGCCTGTTTCCTCAGTTACAGAGTGGAGGTGATGATGTCTACATCAGGATTATATTAATAAACGAGATAAAGTGTGTTAAATAGAGATGCTTTGTAAAAGTTGCTAATTTAGGTATTATTATTATTAATCAACACTTTAAATATTGATTTTTATATTTAAATGTTAATGTTATTTCTATTCCCTTCCTTAACTTCTCTTCTTTGTTATTTATCATCTAAGAGTTAGGCAGAGTATGGCATTAAGAAAAGAACCCATTGTAGGTATCCAACAAACCTCTGTGTACACAGATATTCGTAACAGTCCTATTCACATTAACCAAGAAGTGGAAACAACCCAAATGCTCATCAACTGATGAATGGATAAACAAAACTGTGCTTTACCCATACAATTGAATATTATTCAGCCTAAACAGGGAGGAAGTGCCGATACATGCTCCAACATGGGCAGACATTGAAAACATGACACCAAGTGAAAGAAGCCGGATATGAAAGGTCACACATCGTATGATTCTACTCACATGAAATGTCCAGATTAGCCAAATCCATAGAGACAAGTTAGATTAGTGGGTGGCAGAGGATGAAGGGAGGGACAATGTGAAGTGATTGCTTGATGGGTATGGGGTTTTTGGAGGAGTGGTGGTGAAAATGTCTTAGAACTAGATAGAGTTTGCACCACAGTGTACTGTGAATGTGTTAAATGCCACTGAATTGTACACGTTAAATGGTTAATTTTGTATGATTTTATGTCAATTTCAAAATAAAGAAAGAAAAGAAAAGAAAAAAGAAAAGAACCCAGCCTTTTAAATTAGACAGACTGTGTGATGTTGAACAAGTTACTTAATATCTCTGGGCCTCAGTTTCACATCTATTTTATAAAATTGGTGTGAAACTAAAAGCATTTGTTCAAGAAACACTTATTTAGCACTGACTGGTATCAGGTGGGGATGATGAGAACACAGGATCACCGGTGAGAAGGAAGGAACATGGACCCCTCTCCTACCACTTAGGAATGCACTTTGCGGTACGTGGCAGGAGCTTGAGGAATTGGTTTGTTGCGTGTTACAAAAAGCCCAGAGCTGGTGCAAAGTTCCAGGATGTCATCATATTCCAGATTCCTTCTGTCTCTTGGCTGAATGTGCGTCTCCTGTCCTCATGGTCACGCAATGGCTGTTGTACCTCCAGAGAGGAGAGGAGAGGACCTGTTTCTCCAAGAAGAAAGTCACGAGAAGGTTCCAGAAGAGATTTTTGGAAGAAACAAACAACAAAACAAAACAAAACAAAAAACAAAAAGTCACAAGAAGGAAGGATGAGCTATCTTGAGAAGCCAAACTTTCCTAAAACTCTCCAGGTGACTTCTGCTTATACTTCCTCAGCCGGAACTGGACTGCATGGCCACTCCTGGCCCAGTGGATGCTGGACGTTGAGTTTTTAGTTATGCTTGTGACCTCCTTGAACAAAATCGGGTTCTGCTAGAGAGAAATAAGAGAATAATGGCCACGGGCAGCCTTTTCCATGGTCGTCATAACTCTGCCTGGTGAGGGAGATGTGAATCGAATCATCACACATTCATGCAAAACGACGACGAGATGAGGACAGGGTGTGGCTCTGGCTGAGTGTATAACCAGGGGTCTTGGCCTGCTCTGGGACCCCATGAGGGCTTTCCTGAGAAAGTGACTTTGGCACCAAGGCCTGGCCAGGCCTAACAGCTGCCGGGCACACAGATGCAAGGGAGCCCGCCGCAAGACGAGCACACAGGGGCTCCTTGGCCCCGTAGAGGGGTTTCATCCTGATCCTAAAAGCGATGGGAAGTCCTGGAGAGTCTCAAGAGGCCAGTGGTGTCATCGTCTGCATTATGAAAAGGTCACCCGTGCCGCAGTGTGGGAGGCGGGTTAGGGAAGGAAATGAGAGAGACCCACGAGGTGCTGGTGGGCTGGCGAGAGACCGTGATACATGGGACCGGATGGGGTGTCTTTGTTTGGGCTCCTCAGAAGCCAGTGATTCCAGGCAAGAGCAGCGGGGCTGTGGAGCTGAGACGAGCAGGGAAGGAAGCTGGGAAGTGTCGCATTGTCACTGTGGGCACCTGGAGCGTGGGCCCCGGGCCCACTTGAGGAGGCAGCGTGGAACACACACCGCGGGGCGTCAAAGGAGCCGGAGTGCGTAGCCACGGGTTCCCCATCAGTCAGAGGGGCTGCAGTGTTCCTTCCCCGCTCTCCCACCTGCGATGCCTGGGGCCCGAATGGCTCCATAGCTGAAGAGGCCCCAGACAAAGTGGGTCGGTGGGCACAGGAATGGGGAAGACCAGGAGCTACAGCAGGGTCTGCTCAAAGGGGTGCAGGGGAGCAGACACGTGGAAGAGCTGTCCCAGTGGGAATGTAGACCGGACAGGGCAAGAAATCGGATCGGGCATGGGGTGAGAGAGGGAGAATCCAGGATGAGCCCCAGGTGTTCGACCTGAGCAACTGGAGGGAAAGTTGCAGGAAGACCGGGTACTTTGGTGAGAGGAGGCTGAGATCAGGACTGCAGCTTTAGATGTGTGGAGTGGAGGCTTCAGAGGGGGTCAGGGCCAGGGAGAAACTTCACAGGTGGCAAGTGAGGCCGCGGCTACGAGGGAGAGAGTGCGGGGTGGAAAGAGGAGAGGAGCCCAGGCGAGCCTCGGGGACCCCAGCCCTCTCATCCATCAGGAGCAGCCGGAGGAAAATGAGGGTGCATGGGTGGCAGTGGCCAAGCAGTGTAGACGCTGCAAGTGTTGTGCGTTAGCCAATTCACTCAGCCACCATTTGAGGGACAGAGATGTCACGGATAACTCTCCCATAGTTTGAGCCTTTCTTCCCTCTACGGGCTCGCAGCTGTGCTGGGGAGACAGACTGTGTGGTCTTCTGGCACTCGCAGGGGCGCCACCGAGAACCTCCTGCCACCCCCAGAAAACATCTGGAACAGCAGGAAGCAAGGCACCTACAAGGCCAGCCTGTGGCACAGCTGCCCTCAGTCTTGCGGCCCCAAGGACATGTCTAAGATCCCAGAGACCGGGCGCCCCGAGAGACAAGGCCTAGAATGCCGAGCCTCTGGGAGAGATGACAGTGAGCTCCAGCTCACACTGAGAAGTACAGTTATTCTGACTGTTTAAAATGTCCCCACTGCTCTCCAGTGGTTCCAGTGGACTCAGCCCCGACTAGTGTCCCCGTTGGCTGGGGCCTCGGCCGGCGGCGTCTGAGTGGCGGCGTCTGGGTGCCCCGCTTTCCTGCCGGGCTCCCACGGTGCAGGGCTATTTGCGCTCCTGCAGTGGCGGGAAGGCCTGTCGCGAGGCTGCTGGTGCCAGGCTGGATCTGGTGAGATGCACGGGGCTGGCGCAAGGCCGGGTGCAGCCAGAGTCGGCGGGAATCAGGATGGGCCCTGCTGCTTCCTCTCTGGGGATCCGGGCTAGCGGCTCCCCTTCTCTGCTCACTTTAAATGGGGGTGCTAATCTTACCAGCTTCATGGCGCCGTGGGAAATGAGCGAATTAATATCTGAAGAAAGCAAGATGTCTCAACAGAGCAGGAAGCTCCCCTCATGGCCGCTCTGTCCCAGCTCCTTGGTGCACGCAGGAGGGTGACAGGGTGGCCAGGTGGGCCACCCCTCCCCCGACCCCCGAGAGCAGCTCAGGCCACTGGGCTCTGTGTTGAATATTGGCCTCCTGCAGTTTTTGTTCAGGAAGAGGAGTCTGCTGCTTTGAAAACACGGAGTCTGAGGACCCTGGCTGCCGGAGTTGACGCCACCTGCCCTGCTGCAGGGGAGAGAGCCGGCGGGAGTGCAGAGCAGAGTGGCTGAGGGGACTGTTCCCTGAAAGGCCGAGAAGAGAGGAGAAGCTGAGGGCCAGAGCCGGTGCCCAGAGCCGCCACCGCACCGAGGCCCTGTCCTGGTGCCGGACGGGGGCGGGGCAGCGGGGCTCTCCACTGGGGGTGCGGGGTTAATGGTTAAGCCTCAGGTCCTCCCTGGGGTGGAGGTTAATGTTTGAACATCAGACGAGGCGCAGGAGCTGTCACCAAGCCTGGCACACTTATCACAAATAAAAAATTAACTCTTCAGCTATTCCGGGTTAGCTGGCCAAGGTTTTCCCAGCATTTTGTGGGAACGTTTCAGTGCCACCCTAATATCTGCATGGCCTGGTCCACTGGGCTATTTATTACTTTGTTTACAGAAGCCTATACCCCCTCAGAGCTGGCTGGTAGAAGGGCTCTGGCTCTCCCTTGGGAAGAATGTTCCAGAAGGACAGTGTGGTGGCACCGCAGGGGAGGTGCTGGCTCGGCAGTCAGACAGACCTGGGCATGTGTCCTGCTCTGTCATGTAGGTGCTGTGTGACCTCAGGCACAACACTGGTCCTCTCTGGCCTTAGTGTCCTCACCGTCCTCACAGATGGGGACATGCCAACCCCTTTCCTTCCCGCCTCTGTCCTGCGGGTTGCCCACCCCCCAGAGCACCTGCAGGAGGAAACAGGCTTTTAATTTTATGCCTCTTTCAGTGAGGAAATCCACATAACATCAAGCATTTAAAGTAAACGATTCAATGGCATTGGATACATGCACAATGCTGCATGCAACCACGAACTCTAGCAAGTTCCAAACCATTTTCGTCACCCCAAAATAAAAGCCTGCACCCACTAAGTAGTCACTCCCCATTCTTCTCTCCCCCCAGCTGCTGGCAATTACTAATCTGCCTTCTGTCTCTATAAATTTGCCAATTCTGGACATCCTATTTAAACAGAATCATACAATAGGTGACCTTTTCTGTCTGTCTTCTTTCAGGGAGTGTAATGTTTTCAAGGTCATCCACGACTTGGCATGAATCAGTGCTTCACACGTTCTGGCTTTTAATACGCTTTTCTATAACAAACATTCCCAGCTCCCTTCTGGACTTCCTGGGGCTCCCGATGACCTTTGGCAAGCACGCCCTGTCTCCCCGCCCCCATCAGCCTGGGGCAGGCTGCCGCTGAGCCGGCAGCACCCTCCTGGCCTCCCGTTCCTGCAGGGCCTGGGAGAGGGGGCTCCAGGAGGGGGGCTGAGATGCTCCGCTTGCACCCTGGGAGCAGCGCAAGGGAGTCCCTGCAAGCAGCTAGGAGGCCACAGAGACCACCCCGCTCCCCAGCCACAGTCCCTCCAGCCCAGCTACAGCCACGTACCGCTCTGCTATGACTTCCTTCATATTTTTCCTTTCAATCAATAGACTTTTAAAAAATTCAGCCTCATCCTAAATAATAGTAGCTATATAATCACAGGTGTGATATGCTAGTTTTATAATTTTTCCAATACATATTAAATTCTCTAAAAATGTGTAATTATTAAACTAAAAAATGCTCAACCATGTACCAGCAAAAAGCACAGGCCATCTGTGTGTGATGCGGTCATCGTAGGCTGGGGAACCCTAGGTCTGTTCTGTGCCCAGACAGTGGGGCCAGGGCTGGGAGAGAGTGACACCATGTCACGGTGCTCAGGGAATGAGGACTCTGTGTGGGGTCATCAGCCAGGCTTGCTGCCACTGAGGGCTAGCCTGGTGGGTGGGCACCTGCCCTGGGCTGCAGAGATGGGAAGGCTGGGTGGGGTCCCAGCCCCACCATTACCAGCTCTGTCACCCTACACTTGTCACTTTGCCTTTTGGATCCTCAGCTTCCTCATCTCAACTGTGGAGCAGTGACCCTACCTGACCCCTGGGCTGCTGTGAGCATAGGCCTGGCTCATCTCTGGTGTCCCTGTGGGGCCTGCCCAATGTGACCCAGGTCAGGCAGCCTCTCAGACTTCCTGGCACCCCCCCCCCCCCCCCCCCCCGCCGCATCTGTCTGGCCAGTCAGACATGTGTCGCCAGCCTCATGGCCTGGCGCCTGCAGCCAGTGCCCTGGCTGACCTGGCCAGCCCCAGCCAGCCCTGAGCCCATTTCTCCCCAGGGAGGTAGGAGGCTCCTGCTTTTTCCGTGCTCTGGAACTTCCCCCCTGCTTCCAATGCAAGATGCCAGCCTGAGCTGGCAGCAAAGTGGTACCTTGGAACGAAGCATCCTGTTGCCGCTCCAGGTTGGCTACATAAGGAGTGAGGTCTCGGGGTCAGCCTTAGCCTCCTGTGACCCTAGACACCAGAGTAGCTCAGGGTAGAGAGACACAGCAGGCTACTTGTAAAGGGCCATCCCTTTACAAGTCACCAGGACAAAGTCACCATCCCATGGGCATCTGGGGAGGCCTGCCAAGTGCCAGGACACTGCTCAGGCCCTGTGAGCAGCACAGCGTCTACAGCTGGGACCTGGACAACCAGCCTCCAGGATTATGGCAGAACCCTGCCTAGAGGAGTTCAAATTAGAGAGAACCTTGGCCCCCTTCTCTGACAGGGCTCACTGTGAGATTCGAGGTGAAGATTTGGGAACATCCAAGGAGTTTCTCATGTCCCATATTATTCCTTGAAGGACACAGACCCCTGGTCCTTGGCCTCATAGATGTTTCTGCTGTCCTTGTGGGAACCCCATCCAAACCCTGCCCTCTGCCTTCTATGTCCAGTTCCACCCCGTCCCCATGCCCTTGCCCAGGGCCCCAGTCCACTTTTTCTTTTGAGACAGAGTCTCACTCTGTTGCCCGGGCTAGAGTGCCATGGCATTAGCCTGGCTCACAGCAACCTCAGACTCCTGGGCTCAAGTGATCCTCCTGCCTCAGCCTCCCGAGTAGCTGGGACTACAGGCATGTGCCACCATGCCCGGCTAATTTTTTCTATATATTCTTAGTTGTCTGTCTAATTTCTTTCTATTTTTTTAGTAGAGATGGGGGTCTTGCTCTTGCTTAGGCTGGTCTCGAACTCCTGACCTCTTGCAATCCTCCCGCCTTGGCCTCCCAGAGTGCTAGGATTACACCCAATCTGCCTTTGTCACTCCTGGAGCTGCCTCACCTCCAAAGCCCGTGTGAGGCACCCTGACATCAGGTCTGGGCCTCTCTGAGCCCTTCCATGTCCTGGCTCCCTTTAGGGGCTGGCTGGTCCTACCTCCAGGCAGAAAAGGCTACACCTGCTTCAGCTTCCCATCTCTCTAGTCGACCCTCCCCTCTGCATGCCCCTGGCCCAGTCCCTCCTGGCCCAGCCCACCCCTTACCTCCCCAACCTCCCTGCCTCTCCTGCCCCCAGGGCCTGGCTCCAGCAAGGAGGGCCCCAGGCAGCTACGGTTGTTGTCACCTGGAGACAGGTCTGGTGGGTGGAGGGCTGGGCAGGTCAACTCTCAGCCCCTCCATTTCCTGACTGTGTGATCCCTGGAAACCACTTCTCTCCGTGCCTGATGGCTGCCTGTATGAAAGGGGGTAGGGCAGGAGCCTTGGGATGCTGCTGTGGGATTAAAGGAGCTCATACATGGGAAGCACAGGGCTCCTCCCCATCTGCACCAAACCAGGCAGTGGGTGTCAAGGTGAAAGTCCACTTACAGGAGGCTTGATGGGGACTGGTGTGGGAGCCAGGGGCTCCGGCATTTGTCCATTCACTTGCTCATTTGCCACGTGTATTGAGCGCCTATGCTGTGCAGGCCCAGGGGCACCAGCAGTGGGCGGTGAGAGTGTTCCTGCTCTTGTGGGCTCTCTGCCTGGCGGTGGGGGAGGCATCTGCGCCCAGGCCCCAAGGTGAAGACACTGACTGGCAGTGACCTCCCCTGGCCTTGGGAAGTGGGTCCAAGCCTGCGTCTCTCAGGATCTCAGAATTGCTCCCTGGAGCCAGGCTTAAGTCTGGGCCTGGAAATAGGGGGCCCTCAGCTGTGGGGAGGTGCAATGTGGAAATTCTCAAAGCAAGGCTTGTTGACCAACAGCAGCTCCAGGAGTTCTTAGAATGCAAAGTCCTGGGTCTGGCCTCAGGAGGACTGAATTAGAATCTCTTGGGGTGGGGCCCAGAGATTTGCAGCCTCTGACACGCTCCCGCTGGTTCTGATGCACGCTGGCGCCAGACTTCTGCAGTGGGACAGGCGGCCCGGGAGACTTCACTCAGAGGGGACGAAGGCATCAAGGAGGTGAGCCTGGTGGGATCAATACCTCAGAAAAGCCGGGGATGTGCTGTCTGGTACTCCAACGACCCCTGCAGGCTGCACCTACCTCCCAGTCCCCGGGGCTAAAAACTGCAGTTCAGAGGACTGAGCCTGGCTCGCCTTCTAGATGCCAGAATGAAAGAGGGACAGGCCTGGGGCAGACAGTGGGGAAGGGACAAGGTCAGAAGGGAGGCACTGGTTCTTCCAGAAGAGATGGGAAATGGGCTGGGGCAGCTGTCATGGTGGGGTAGGATTGGAACCCAGGTCTGCCGGCCTGAGAGTCTTGGCTCTTTGGGATGCCATTCTCTGCACTGTACTTGGTTCTCCAAGCTGGATGAAGGGTGCTCACTTCATGAGTGTCCCTCAGCTTATTCCCAGCCCCCTCCAAACCTGCCCCAAGAATGTCCTTCCAGAGGCACGGGTCTCCAAAGTCTGTTGCAGGAAAGAATTTCCCTGGGTTGCCACCTTCTGGGATCAACTTTGGGAGACTTGGTGGGTGGTTACGTGAAATGGTAATTCTTAAAAGACAGTATAATCCTAACTTGTATACAAATATAAAATGAATACTTTTATTTTATTAGTGAGAAAATCAGGATGATTTTACCACTGGTTCATAGAATTCAAAGCACCATACATATAAGGCAGAATGGTAAAATAAATTTGCAAATAGATGCAAAACTGGCTGAATACAAGGAGAAGAGAATGGAAATCAATTGTATTTCTACTGGACAAGAATCATTTGTATTGCTGCCAATTATCTACAACTTCCAGAACTGCAAAATAGCTCAAAGACAATAAAAGGCCTGGGACCCCATAGAATCAGATAACCAAGAAGGCTGTGCTCAGATAATGTCTAGTTTTGCATTGAAAACACCCAGTAATCTTTTTGAATCATTTCAAAGTCTTTCTGTTACCAGAAGTGGCCACAAATCTGGCCCTGAGCTTCCTAGCAGCCAAATCAAAGAGGAAACTGGCTTGCAATTCAGTGTCTATAAGGACAGATATATATTAGTTGTTCACAACAAGGTCAGCTTCTCACTGCATTGAAAGCAGGTTTTCCTGACTCCTTGGGACCAGGAACCAGTGGCATCTAACGCATGAGGGAGGGGCCTCCTGTAGGAACACAGAGAGGTAGGAAGCAATATCCTCAACAATATCCGTGCCGCAAACACAGTGGTGACTGGTGGAGCTGCCACGCGGGTGGCTCTCGAGGCATGGTCCCAGACCAGCAGCATCAGTAACACCTGAGAACTTAGAAATGCATGTTCTCAGGCCCCATCCCAGACCTGCTGAGCAATCCGTGTGTTAGAAATCCCTCTGAGTGACGCTGATACAAGCCGCAGTTTGAGAATCAGGGGATATCACGTTAGAATTACCTGCAAAGCTTTCATAAGATATCACAGCTGGGCCCCATCCAAACCAATTCAATCAGAATCCCTGAGTGATGGGCCCAGCTATGTATGCTAAAGCTCCCATGCAGCCAGGAGGGAGGGCCACTGCTATTGAGTTGTTTATTGCAAGCTGAGGCCACGAGATGTGCCATCTTCTGCTCCAGAGAGATCCAGACCTTCACTTGCAAGGCCTATATGAGATGACGTGTGTGCCTGCCTGCCGGCCTGCCTCCTTCCCTCCCTCCCTTTCTTCTTTCATGTCTTCAGCGCTGAGCACTCACCCTGACGATGCAAAGGGGCATTAGACACCATGGGCTCCTGGTCCCAAGGCGTCAGTACTGATGGGACCTGTCGGAGTGTCTAGTGGAATTCCCGGCAGGCAAGGGTGTCAGGGGTGGGAACAGGGTGGTGGGGCAGCCCTTGGTCCACGCCCCGTCCCTGTCTGATGCTGCTGCTCTTCCTGGCAGGCTGCGTGGGGCTATGGGACAATACGAGCTGCTGGCCGTCCTCTGCGCCGGGACAGACTGTGCAAGTGGCGTGCCCGAGATTCCTCCAGCTGCTCACGAGCAGAAACGGTAACCGCGCGGCCTGTGGGGTCTGGCTGGGAGGCTGAGGGGTGGCCCTCTGCATGGGGACTCAGCCTAGAGGTGGAGGCCAAGGAACCATCTCTGAGAACAAGGAGTGGGTAACATGATGTGGGCGATTTTTATGGGGGATGGAAGCCTGGCTTGGGAATGTGGGGTCGGCTCAGTCCTCAGGGTCCCAAGCAAAGGGGTGGGAGCAATGTGCTGGGGAAGGTGAGAACGGAGGCTGGGCTTGCCTCTCTCTGCCCTGTGCCCCCCATCCAGGGGCTCCCCTCCCTCCTTCCATGTTTCTGCCCCCTTAGCAACCAGGGGCTTTGTGCCAGCCCCTGTGTCTGGATCCCACCCTGGCAGTGCCAGGCCCCCAAACTGCCTGCCCTTCCAGAATACTCTCTTCCTCTTTACCCATCCTGCCAGGCCCTGCTAATAAACTGCAGCCTCCCTGGGAGCCCCGGCCTCCTGGGCCATCTCTTAACCCCAGCTGCAGTTTTAAGGGTTTTCCTAATTCGCTCACATTGGTTAAAGATTGACCATATGCCAAGTATTTTTATATACATGGGCTCATTTAGTCATCACAAACCCCTGCAAATCACATACCTTTTCTCTTGACCCAGTAAAGAGTACTAATAACTGGTACAAGAGAGGCTTAGCAGTTTGCCTCAAGTTCATAGCAACAGGTGGAGAAGCTAGGACTCAAATCTGATTCCTCCGACTTTAAAACCAGTTCTCTGTCCTTGAGGTCACGGTCAAGACAGGTCTACGGCCCTGTGGTCAGGGTGACCCTGGGTTGAAGCAAGGTAGTTTCCTGGCTTTTGGTCCTGCCCTCCGTGGAAGGCTGCCCTGGCCTGGCCTGCTGTCCCTCTTCCTTTGTTTGTGCAGGATAGAAAAAGCTGCCTGCTGAGGCCCTGAACAAGAACAAACTAAAGCATGGGTGATTTAGCTCTAAGACCCACTGGCCTTCCAAAGCCAGGCAAGGCCAGGGTCACCAAGGGTCAGAGATGGTGGGGGAAGAGTGTAGATTCCTCTCCCTGTAACTCTCCAGTGCATGTGGGCGCACACGCACGCACACACGCGCACACACACATTCACATACACACACAGATTTGGGAAACGTGCTGCCCACTGGCCCTTGCAGCAGCACCCAACACCCCATGCCGTGGCAATTGGAGGGGCCGAGGCAGGCAGGTTGGGACCCACTCCTCCACTTACTGGTTTGGTAGTGCTAGCTGCTGTAACAGACAAATTGCCCAAATCTCAAAGCCTTCGTATGATAGTTGTCCACGTAAAGTCCCAAACGGGTGACCCTGAGTAGCGGGTGGCTCTCCTCCACGCGTGACTCTAGCATCCCGCGCCGCACAGCTGTGGCTTCACACTCAGCTTCCAGGCCGACTGGGGAGGGGAAAGGACTCCCTCCCATGGAGGGAGTTTGGAAGGGCCAGGCCCGAGAGGGATACCACTCTGCCCACATTCCTTCAGCCAGAACTCAGTCACGTGTTGACAAAGGACACAGGGAAATGTCATCTCGCTGGGTGCCAGTCAGCCACAGGGCCCAAGTTCCTCACTGTCTTTGCGGCTCAGTTTTCTTGATCCGGTTCCTGTCTTTCTTCTCCTCCTCCTCCCATCCTGCCCCCACCTCACGCACACACCTGCAAAATGACCAACAGTTGTACCTCTTGGCACGGCCTCCATGTCTGTCTCTGGGGCCTGGGAGCTCAGGACACAGGACAGTAGTCCAGACGTGGCTGACCTGGGGAGCATGCTGCTCTGGTGCAAGGCCGGGGCCGGACTCTGGTTTCTGCCTCCCGTCCAGGGCTCCTCCACGGCTGACGAGTGTTTGTCCTGCTGGAGAGGACCTGAAGCTCTCCTCCTTCCCACCCCACCTTCGTGCCTGCCTAGGGTCACAGTGCCTCCACCCACCCGCCCCCATCCCTCCTGCCCTTCTGCAGGGGGCTGGGCAGAGCTGGTGTTGCTGGTGGCCACACGGTGCCCAGGTGCCAGTCCTGTCCCATCCCTCCCCACTTAATGGCTTGCACCCTTGCCTGTCTCATTCACTAGAAGCCCATCGCCTCCCTCTTGAGCCTCCCCCACCCTGGAATTGCTTACAACCCACAGGGGGAACCCCAGAGGGTCAGGGGGTCAGTTCCATGTCTGCACACTGTGAGCACGGAAGCTGGGGTCCTATGCTTGCCTCTGTGTCAGTTTCTCCTCGCTGCCACTTGGTGTCACTGTGGGGCCGCAGGTCCACTCTGAGGCCCTGCTTACTGGCGCAGCTCCTGGGGTGGTGGGTGCCATTGTCTCACCCCTGGGGCCAAGCTGTTCATGCCCATTCTCGTGGTGCTGGTGGGCCCAAGAACATAGGTCAAGACCTGTCTGGCTCAGTGTGTCACCAAGAGCTCCCACTCACCCCACCTTCTCCCCAGTACACCTGGGGGCTTAGATTAGCGTCCTGCCCCTCACCTCCGCTCAGGAAGGAAGCTCCCCTCAGTGGGGTCCCCTCCTCACCTCAGGATGGAGTGTGCCATGGGGACAAGGTGGTGTTCTGGACCCTTCCTTTTGCAAGAAGAAAAAGAATAAGAAATGAATTCTTTTTCAGGGCACCTACTACACAGGCCCAGACAGGATGGGCGTCCATGTGACTGGGAAAACTGCAGGCTGGATTCTGTCCCCAGATGTTTCTCTCTTCCTGCCAGGCCTAGAATGTTCCCTCTAGGATGCATTCCTTTGATTCTTAAAAGGGCACTGTTCTTCCAGAGTTCCTTATTAAAAAACACATTTCCTGGGCGGGGTCAGACCTGGGCCCTTTTTCTCTTCTGTCTTAGCTCGCATCTGACTTAAAACAGTCGAGATTCCTAACCTACTTAGGGTCCTGGAGCCTTTGAAAATTGGATGAAAGCTCTGGACTGGCTTTTTCCCAAACTGCACACGTGTGTATGCATAAACATACTGTCTTCCAGGGGTCCCCTGAGAAAGGAGTACCCTGAGAAAGAGGCGTATATGGCCTGCACCTGGTTAAGGCCCCCTTACCTATTAGGAATTAAGCCTTAGGAAGTAGGTGAGGCTGAAGGGGCCCCACAGAGAACCCATCCTGTCTCCTGTGCCGAGCGCCCCACCAGCACGGGCACCTAGCCTGGATCCCACGGAGCATCTGTCTCGGAAATCCTGCTGGATCAGGGAGGAGAAGCCCCCAGACAGGCAGGCCTGCTGCCCTGGGTGAGCCTCTGGGCTGCCGCTGTCTGATAATCTTCCACTCTGGCCTCGGGGGTGTTTGTGTTCCCTTAACGCAATTTCCCATCCAACCAGCCTAAATTTGACCACCATTCTTTCCAATCTGACAACCTAGCTCCCTGGATGTAATTCTAGAAACCTCCCACCCCACCCCTCAATTCCAAGACTCCAAGCCCCGCCCACTCCTGCCTAGTTTAGAAAGGCCAAAAAGAGAGGGGAGTAATACCACAGTGCCCGCTCTGTGCCTGGCCCCAGGCTGGGCATTTTGTGTGTGCTACCATGTTTCCTGCTCACTCTTGCAGCATGGGTGATTCTCTCCCTGTGGCACAGAGAAGTGATGCCCCTAAGGTCACACAGCGACCAAGAGGCAGAACTGGGTTTCGAACTCAGGTCTCACTGCTTCTAAACCTGTGCTCCAGGCCTCTGGAGCCTTCTCAGTCTGTGCATGCCCGGAGCCCCCCAAAAAACGCCATCTCCTGAGGGTCAGGTGGGAGGGCGGTACAGTGATGGGCACTGTGTCCCCATCTGGGCCTTGGTTTCCTGGTCTGTGTTTCCAGGAGCACCTCCTCAGTGGGGCACTGTGAGAGTCTGTATGTAAAGCACTTGGCACAGTGGCTGGTTCTAGAAAAGCCAGCCATATTTCTCCAGCTCAGTGGTAACTGACCCTAAACCCTGGGAGCCAGTGGCTCAGCTCCTAGAGTCTGTAGGAGAGGAGCATGCCAGGCTCAGTTGGGGCTGTCAACGTGCCCCTGGACAGGGCTCGTGGGAGAGCAGAGTGGCAGCAGGGCTCCTGCCCACAGGACTCGGGGGTCAGCACCCTGCACCTGCAGCGCCAGCACTGGAGAGAGCTGGGAGCTGGATCTCAGCCCTGCCTGGCAGCCCAGGGCACAGAATGCAGTTGGGCCGTCCAGTCCAAGGAGGGGAACTACTCCCGGTGACCTTTTAGGACTTCCTTCCTGGCTGGTGGCTCCCTAGCTCTGAGAGCTCCGGTGGCAGTGCACTCTCCTCTCTTCTCCTCTCCTCTGCAGAAGGGCTCAGAGCGGGCTCTTCATCCCCACACATCGCCTTTCTGCCTGGCCGGCCAGCCAGCGTCTGATGAGCGAGGGCTCCAGGCCCGGCACCGGGGAGGGAAACCGCTGTCCGCGTGGTGAGGGGGCGCAGCGTGCAGCCCGTGCCGGGGTGCAGGGCGAGCAGCGGAGCGAGGGCTGCGCCGGTCTCGTGATCTGTCACGCAGAGAAACGCAGGCGGCTGCCTCACTGTCGTGGCTGGAGGACTAAAACTCCATCCCCTCTGTGAGAGGCGCTGCCTGGAAGGGTTTATCTCAGTCGCATTCTGGAGGTTTTCAGTGACTGGGAGAGCAGGGCGTGAAGTTACGTACAAAACGGAACTTCCTTGGAGCAGAGGAGTGGCAATGGGAGCCTGAGAAAAGATCATTATGGGAGCGGTCAGGTCCTTGCCAGCCACCACGGATTCCCCGGAGAGCCACCTGCTAAATGGCAGAGGACCTGGCATTGGGAGAAGCTCTGGCGGGGTCAGAAAAGGGCTTAGTTCATGGTGTGTGGTCAGGAGTGTGGGCTCTGGAGCCCGAACCCCAGGGTTCAAATCCCTTTCCCCCATTTACTAGAGTGTGATCTCGGGCAAGTTATTTAGCCACTGTGTGCCTTGATTTCTGCAACTAGGAGGCGATTGGGGTATTTACATGTTACCGTAGATTTTACCATAAAAATAACAGTGCCCAGCCCCTGCTGTTTACCTACCGGATGCTTGGCACCCACAGGTTCCATGTTTCGAAACTGCACACACGACGGCTGGTCAGAAACCTTCCCCAGGCCTGACTTGGCCTGTGGGGTTAACATGAACGACTCCTCCAACGAGAAGAGGGTAAGCCTGTCAACCTCCACCCCCAGCCCCTGACGGGAGAGAGGACAGGGTGGAGCCAGCCTGGGGCGTGGATGGGATCTGGAGGCTGCCCAATATGCAGATAGTGGGCTTCAGGATTCTTTGATGAAGCAGCACCACAAACTCTGCAAGGACCAGGTTATTTCTACCTCTCTTCCTGCTATCCCGGGGGTTTCTTCCTAAAGCTGTCACTCCTTCCAATGTAAGGTGACTGCCATCAGCAATTGCAGCCATAGACTTTTCCACTACTGCTTGCCCAAGAGGAGGGGCAGCCTGGTTTCCTCTGGTTCTCTCCTAAGAGCAAGAAAGCGTCTTTCTCCAACCCATCCCCCAAGCCTGTCCTCACATCTCATTGGCCCAAAGTGAACTTAAACCTGCCACCTCTGGACCAATTATTGGCAGAGGGCAGTGGTTCTCAAACTTTTGGGCCTCAGGACTCCTTTACATTCTTATGAATAACTGAAGACCCTAAAGCCACACCAATCAGAACCGTTGGTTTAGACTAATCAGCTGGGAAGAATGGAGCCCAGCGGCCTAACCACAATGTTCATGCAGGATTAAAACTGTAAAATCCCAAACCGAGGATTTAACAAAGGGAAATGTAAAGTTCTGGCTTTAACTCAGAAAACTAATTGTCCAAAAATGGTGGAAAGAAGACCTAGCTTGGCTTCAACTCACATAAAACAACAATGACAAAAACAACTCTAAGATTGGAACAGTTTCCAGACCACGTGGTTCCCTGGTCCCTAAATACTGCTTCACAAACTGGCACAAAAATTTGTTCTTTAATCTGAGATTTGAACCATCCTATTTCTTATCATTAAAATGTCTTCTTTTTTGTTAACTGATGGGGAAGATATGCATTCATTGCTTTTCTGTTTTTCCTCTTTTTTCAACGTCCTTTCTTGGCACACACCACTATACTGTTGATAAACGCCAATAGTGGACTCAGATTGGCAGAAAGATTGGGCATAGATGCCACAAGGGTAAATATTATAAAATGGGGTGTGCTTATCTAGAGCAGGGGTTGACAAACTACAGCCCTTGAGCCAAAAGCAGGCCCACCACTGGTTTTTGTAAATAAAGTTTTATTGGAACACAGCCAAACCATTTGCAAAACAAAGCTTCTTCTGCATAATGAGGGCAGAGCTGAGTAGTTGCAAAAGAGACCAACCAAGAGGCATTCAAAACCTAAAATATTTACTGTCTGTCCCTTTAAAGAAAGTTTGCTGAGAGGCCACAGAAAGCAGGTGGCACAGTTAGGACACACAGCACAGAGAGGCAACACTATCCAGGACAGACGGCAGTGAGGCTTCTGAACCCCAAGGACTCTGGGAGTGGTGGAATTTACAGATGTTAGGAGCTGAGGGACGAAGGTCCCAGCAGGCCATCCGGGAGCTGGGTTCTCTCTGGGTCAGGCCTTACAGATATAAGGCAGGAAGACGTCTGCATGGGAGCCAGGCTGAAAGTCACCTGGCGGACAATGACTACAGCCACAGGACGGTACAGCATATTCTGTCTAAACACTCCGTACCCATAACCTTGTGCCTCCTCAGGCTCTTGCAGGCTGGTCCAGACATCCCCAGGAGCAAGGCTGACACCCTCAGCTGTGGAGCTCAGCTTGTGCATGGCAAGATTAGAGGCTGACACATTGGTCCCCAATTTTTTGACATATCACAGATCTTTGATGTCCCAAAGTCTACAGGGACCACTAATCTAAGGAAACCACTGCCCTTCAAGGGTCTTCCCTTTATCCCTGAATGGTGATTCCCGGCTTCTGGCAGAGTGTAAGTGAGGTGGCTCAATGTTACTTGGCAGCCATCTGGTCAAAGGCCACCTCCTGTGGTCAGAACATTTTTGGTCACCCTGAGTCAAAATCTACCTCCTTTCTGGTAACTTTCCCCCGACTGGAGTGCACATGAGGTCGGGCTCTTCTACATGTCAGTCAGTCTAATACTTTTCTCCCCTATGTTTGTTTTTCTCCCCTCCAAGTGTAACATAACAGGTTTTCTTGGGCACTCCTCAGATGACACAATCACCCTCCTGCAGAAATGCTCCAGTTTATTAATATGCCTCTTAAAATAACATGCCCAGACCTGGACAAAACACTTTAAACATTCCTACGTGGCCAGCTGCTCACAGCACTCCATCCATGTAACTGAGAATAGATCTGATTTTTAGCAACTACATCGAACCTGAGACTTCATACCATCTTATACTGAGACTCACCTTGAAGTGTGGGCGGTGGAATGGGGGAAAATTACCATGCACTGAATGTCTTCTAGCTGCCAGGCTCTGTCTAGATACTCCATCCCATACCTTATTTGTTCTTCCAATAAGCCTGCAAGGTAGATATTATTACCCCGATTTTGCAGATGAGGAGTCTGAGGTTCAGAGAAGTTGAGTAATTTGCTCAAGGTCACACAGCTGGTGAGTAATAGTCCTGGGTTTGGAACCTTTATCTCCTGGCTTTGATGCCTGTGCTTTTTCTCTATAGTACACTGAGTGACATCATGGAGCTTGGGCCATTCATTTCAAGGTCATTTTCATATGAACAGCTGTCAGCCAGGCTTCCCTATACTATTTTTGTGCCTTTTAAAAAAATTAGATACCCTTTTCTCTTGGTTATAAAGTAGCGCTTACCCACTGTAGAAAAGTTGGAAGTATAGAAAAATTACAAAAGAAAATAACCACTCTATTCATAAGCCTATTATATAATGTAGAATTAACCATTATTAACATCTAACATATCTCCTAACAATCTTGTTTCTACGCATGTATAAAATTGAACCACAGGAAATGGATGATAGTCAATCATTTCTAATCTACAAAAAAAAGGACAATTTCATATAATTCAACCTAGCACTTTTTTACATATAGCTGAAGTCACATTACACATGTAAAATTTGTATTCTGCCTTTTCCTATAACAAGACATCATCAGTATGTCCTGACTTCTCTTAAACTCTTGGTAAACAATATTTTATTAGTGATATAACATCAAAGTCATTTGGATTTAAAATAACTTAGTTAACTATTCTTCTATTGTTGTACATTTAAGTTTTTTCAACACAAATAATTCTGTGATAAACATCTTTATATATACATATGCTTTTATATTTCTGATTGTTTCTTAGAATTAATTCCTGGAGGTAGAAGTAAGGTCAAAAGGAAAGCATATTTCGAAGTTTCTTTCTTTTTTTTTTTTATTCAAGCCACTCAAATTTAGCAGTGGGGGGTTGAATACCAGCTTTAGTGACACTAATGTTAATAAGTTCTGATAACCCACTACCATCGGACCAGCCTCAAAGGTTTGATTTTTTTTTTTTGAGACATGGTCTCACTCTGTAGTCCGGGCTAGAGTGCCGTGGCATCAGCCTAGCTCACAGCAATCTCAAACTCCTGGGCTCAAGCGATCCTTCTGATCCTACTTCTCTGGAGTAGCTGGGACTACGGGCACACGCCACCATGCCAGGCTAATTTTTTTTTATATATTTTTAGTTGGCCAATTAATTTGTTTGTATTTTTAGTAGAGACGGGGTCTCACTCTCTTGCTCAGGTTGGATTTGCACTCCTGACCTTGAGTGATCCTTCCACCTTGGCCTCCCAGAGTGCTAGGATTACAAGCGTGAGCCACCACGCCTGGCCCCAAAGGTTCTTGATACATATTTCCATATTACTTTCCAGAAAGATTGGAGCAATTTTCACTGCCACTATACTCTTCATAGAAAATTATTACTTTTAAATACTTGTTAATTTGGTTGGTAAAAAATGGTATAGCATTATTTAAAAAATTTTTAGTTCCTTGATTATTTTAAGACTATTGTACAATTTATTTTTTGAACCTAAATGCAGGTTTTCAATCTCTATATTTCAGTTTAATTTTTTGCTCAATATTCTAGTCCACTGAGATCTTTTTGAATCAAAGATGAGCTGACAGAGTGAAATGGCTGCTGGACAGCGAATGCCTTTTTGGCTGCATTAATAGGAGTGCAGCTTATAGGGCAGGGGAGGTGATGGTCCCCTTCTATTTCTTCCTAGTTAGAGAAGACAACTGGGGCTTTTCAGCTGTGTGGTTCTGGGTGTCTTATTTAAAAAGGACATTAACAAACTGGAGCATATTAGCTGAGCAAAATGGTAAAAGATTGTGGAAAGAGGTTGAAGACAAACGGCATGTTTAATGCTGAGAAGATGAGCAAGGACAGACAGAGTAGCTGCATCAGAAAATGACAGGCCCCCGTGTGATCTTCGTAACTTTTTTCTATAAAATGGGCCTATGGGCCGGGTGCTGTGGCTCACGCCTGTAATCCTAGCTCTTGGGAGGCCGAGGCGGGCAGATTGCTCAAGGTCAGGAGTTCGAAACCAGCCTGAGCAAGAGCGAGACCCCGTCTCTACTATAAATAGAAAGAAATTAATTGGCCAACTGATATATATATAAAAAAAAATTAGCCGGGCATGGTGGCGCATGCCTGTAGTCCCAGCTACTCGGGAGGCTGAGGCAGAAGGATCACTCAAGCCCAGGAGTTTGAGGTTGCTGTGAGCTAGGCTGACGCCACGGCACTCACTGTAGCCTGGACAACAAAGTGAGAAAAAAAAAAAAAAAAAAAAAAAGGGCCTATGTTCAAGACAAATTCAGTTTATTTTAAGCGGTTCCAGAAGACAGAAAAGGGATGAATAGGTGCAAGTAACCGGTTTTAGCTTCAGATAAGAAAAAAAACTAATATTTTGTACTGTTGTACACCAAAGGACTTCCTCAAGAGGCAGTGAGCACCTTGTCCCTAGAGGTCTGAGGGCAAAAGCTTGAATTCAGAGTGTCAGCAAGGGGCCTTGTACTCGGGGTGGAAGTTTCAATTGGCATCAGATGATACCCAAGGGCTTTTCCAAAGCCAAGATGTTATGATGTTATGAGTCTGTGAATTGGTGCCCTTGGGGTAGGAAGAGAACGGCAGGCAGCGCTGGTGGGGTTCAAGCGGCCTTGCTCAGGCGCACTGAGGCAGAGAGGGCAGAGCCAGCCAGGTGGCCAGGTGGGGCTGACATGTGTCTCTCTCTGCAGCACTCGTACCTGCTGAAGCTGAAGGTCATGTACACGGTGGGCTACAGCTCCTCCCTGGTGATGCTCCTGGTGGCCCTCAGCATCCTCTGCACTTTCCGGTGAGAACACGCTGACGCCTTCCAGCCCCCAGCCCCCCCCCCCAGCCACAGACTGTGGGTCTCTTCTTAATTGCTCAGGATAGAAAGAGGAAAGTCCGGGTGAACTACCTTGTCACTTCTTGATCTAAAGGTTATCTGTGGCAAAACACTGAAGCTCCTGTGACCTCACTCATTCCTTTATTTGTTTAACATTTACTAAGCATTACTGAGAACTTGCTGCAGCCAGTTGCTTTACGTGTACTATTTCTAATTTTCACACAGTGCTATGAGATAGGTAGCATTACCCCCATTTTCCAGGTACATTAGCCAGATTCTTGGTTGCTAGAGACAGAAATTCACCTCAAAACAGCTTAAGAAAAACAAAGGTGTTTTGTTCTACACAAGTGACAAGTCCAGGGGCATCTGCTTTAGGCATGGCTGGATCCAGGTGCTCAGAGGTATCAGCAGAAGTGGGTCTTTCTCCATTTCCCTGCACTGCATGGGCCTCAGCAGGCTTTCTGCAGGGGTGGCAGAGACGACTGCTAGCAGCTGCAGGGGTGGCAGAGACGACTACCGGCTCAGCAACATCAGGTGCAAACAGACAGCGTCTCTTCTCAGTTTGTTCCAGTGAAAGTCCTGAAGTTCTCATAGGCACGGCTTAGGTCAATTGCTCAACTCTGAGACCATGGCCAGCACTAGTGCACTCTGATTGGTCAGATCTGTCATGAGGGTGGGGGGGCGGAGCCGTTCCCACCCGTGGCTGGAATGGGTTCCCGATAAGAAAGCCTATTTCTACCAGGAAAAGTGGAGCAAGTAACAGCCTTCTGGCCCCTGCAGGAGAGGAGGAAGCCTGGGCTCAGGGAGGTGAACAAGCGTGCTCAACGTCATAGCTATTGGGGTCTGCTTTCTCAGTTCTGTGAGTTGGAGGTGATGCTAGGTCCAGGCAGAATATAATGGTGCCCCCACAATCCCAGCTTTTATTTATTTTCTTAACTGCAGCATGAGGCACCTGGGGGCCCAGATCCTCATTCAGGTTCTGTTCACAGACAGATGTGTCCTGGAAAGAGCTGATGTCCAGGGCCTCGGTTTCCCCAGTGCACTGAGGGCGGGCAGGCTTGGCTGAGTCCCAGCCTCTCCTGCTCCGGCCCTATGGCCCTGCATTCTCTCCCTCCAGGAAGCTCCACTGCACGCGCAACTACATCCACATGCACCTGTTCGTGTCCTTCATCCTGCGCGCCCTGTCCAACTTCATCAAGGACGCCGTGCTCTTCTCGGATGATGTCGCCCACTGCGATGCCCACAGGGTAACAAGCCTGGGTGCCCCACCGTGTGGCCAGGCCTGCCTGCCTTCCACACCCCAGCTTTGGAGAGGGTAGTAGCCCAGTTGTCTTTCCCCCAAGTCTGCTGAGGCTGCACTTAATGCCAAGGGTAAAGTGGCTGGGCCAGGAGGTTCAGGGAGTGCCCATGGCCGCACATGCGCCACAATCTGGGCCATGCAATGACAGCAGCTTATGGGGGAGCTGTGGGGATTGCTGCTCAACTCCCAGTGTCCAGGAGTGAATTAGCCACTCTGGGAATTAGATACCTAGTGAGACCCCTCTTTTCCCTGCTCCTGCCCGGCTGTAGACAGATGACCAAGTGTAGAGAGAGTTGGGGTTGGTTGCAAAAAGAAAAGGGAGAGCATGTGTCTGTATGTCTGTATGCATGTGTTTGTAGGAAAACAATTGTGTTTCGTCAAATCTAACCCCCTTCCTCCTTCCAAATGCCCAGATGACTCTTAATTTGTCTCAGTCATCCCATGTGTCATTTGGGAATTCCTTTGCTGCAAATAACAGAAAACTGCACATTAGTGGCTTAAACAGATGGAGACTGTTTCCCACAAAAGCTGTCCACAGTTGAACAAGCCAGAGGAGGCGTAGTGGCTACATGGTGCTAAATAGGACATAGTCTTTTCCCCTCTTTTTGCTCTGCTGTCCTCAGTGTAGACCTTCGAGCTCATGCTTCGTACCACACGGTTGCATTATGGCTGCTGCAACCCGTCTCATTGTCCATGTTCCAGGCAAGAAGAAAGCAAGTAGTGAAAAGTGAAGGATTTTTTTCCTTTTGGGTGGCTTTGCCTTTCTACTTGGGAAAGTATACCCTCCCTGAGACTCCTACCTACATCTCATTGGCTAGATTTGTGCCATGTGACCACATTTAATTGCAAAGGAAGCTGGGAGATGGCAATGTTACTATCACAGTCTCCATAGTAGAGGCAACGGAGAAAGAGATTGAAAATTGAGATTGGTTCAGCCAACCTGCCTGCCACTTCCCACCACTCACACCAGTTTGTGTTGTTTCTAGTTGGTGTGTCTGTGTGTGCGTGTGTGTGTGTGTGTGTGTGTGTGTTCTGACTCAAACTGAGAAGTCTCTCAGGTAGGATCCATGTCTCTCAAGGAGATCTCCAGGATGAAACAAGAGCACCTGACTGGGAGTCAGGAGCCTTTAATTCTAGCCCTACCCTGTTACTGACCAGCAGTGGGCAAGTCCAACAATGCCTAATAGGGAATCTTCTTGGGTTTCACTAAGCATCACACTCACAAGCTGACCATGGGCCTTGCTGGGAATTGGAGCCTCTGGGAGGCCGTGGGGCAAGAACCACAGCTGGTCTGCCAGGCAGTACTGGGTGCTCCTCCTCAGACCTGTCCGCACAGTCTGTGTAGCAGCCCTAGGGCCATCCCAGCAGCTGTCTTCTCCCCAGGGGACAGCTCAGTGTGAGGAAGGCAGACTCACCATAGCACAAGTACAGGAGCCACGCTGGCGTAGAGGCCTCCTGCCCCACACTCTCACAGGCGTAGCTTCCAGGGACCCCTGCAGGGAACATGCCTGTTACAAGAGGCGCTGCATGGGGCAAACCCAGCAGTATAGCATCCCTTTTGAACACCTGGAGGTCTCCAATTCTGGTGCAAAGTACAGTCAGGGGCCATTTTAACCATAATCAATGTTGCATAGTTGGCACATCCCTTCATTATCTGTTTCCAAGGAAACTGAGCTTGGAAAGGTTTTGTAAACCCTTTGCTCAGAAATCCCTTCCCTCTCTAGGCCTCAGTTTCCTCATCTGAAAAATGAAGTGTTTGAGCAGTATCTGACCCAGTTCCTCATCTAGCCTGGCAGCCAGTTCCAGAATTCGAACCTAGTTTCTGCTCTTGGAATGGCTCATTGACCATCTTGGCTGAACCCAGTGGGCCTATGGACTTCCACTCTCTAGAGAATTCTGTGGGCCTACTATGCTAATGAGGCAATGCCACAGGAGATGGCCTTGAACCCCGGAGGCTCGCTCTGTGGCCTGGCTCCTGCCCCCAGAACACTCTGTTGCTTTCTTTGGGGCTGGCCACCAGGGGGAAGGCCAGTCACCCAGCCTGGGCTCACCTGCCTCTCTCTGTCCAGGTGGGCTGCAAGCTGGTCATGGTCTTCTTCCAGTACTGCATCATGGCCAACTACGCCTGGTTGCTGGTGGAAGGCCTCTACCTTCACACACTCCTCGTTGTCTCCTTCTTCTCAGAGAGGAAGTACCTCCAGGGATTTGTCGCCCTCGGGTGGGGTAGGTTTCTCCTTGGGTATAAAATCTGGGTCGTTTGTGGGAAGGGGCAGCAAGTTGAGAGTCAGAAAGATGTGGCTGCTAGTTCCAGCTCCACACTTAACTAACACACTTAACTAACTAGGCAAGTTGCTTGATGATTAACCCTCTGGTCTCAGTTTATTTATCTGTCAAATGGGAAATAATAGCTAAAATGTAGCCCCAATTCCTGGCATCCAAAGCCTTTCACAATTTGGTACCACCCAACACTGTTGCCTCATCATCCTGAGACCTTTCTTGATTCCTTTCTGTAGCAGGATGTTTCTGATTGCTGGTGTCAGAAAACTGAGATAAGACAGGCTTTGAACATAAAGGAAATTAATTGGTGCATGTAACTGAGAAGTCCAGGGATTGTCAACTTCAGGCGGTGCTGAATCCAACAGCTTAACAATATTTCTTTCTGTCTCCACTTTGGCTTTTGTAACATCAGCTTAGCTGTTAGGCTGGTGCTCCCAGTGTCACTGCCAGCAGCTTCTGCTACTGGCCTTGCTGCTGCAGCCCAGTAGAGGAAGGAAGAGACTATGTTCCAGCATTCTGAGCAAATATTCTGAGGTTCACTCTGATTGGACTGCTTAAACTCATGCCCATCCTTGAACCAATCACAAGGGCCTGAGAGTATAAAATTTGCTGATTGGATTAAGCTACTCAAACCACATGGTTTTTCAAAAAGAATTCAGGACTCAGTTTCTAGGAAAGAGGGGAAATGGTGGCAAGACGGCCAACTGCAGGCCCCCAATCCATCTCTTCCTTTTCTTTCCGGTCATTGAAGATGATAAAACTCCCCTTCCTTGAGCGCTTACTACGTGCTGGGCATTGGGTTCCACAATTTACACATATCATTTAATCACCACAACAGCCACCAGAGGCCTCTCGGAGACCTGGACTCAGAGACGTGACAGAACATGCTCAACTCACACCGTAGACAAGGGCAGACCCAGGGCTCAAACCAAGGCCTGTTTCCAAAGCCCCTTCACTTTTATCCTGCGATTAACAGATATCCACCCACCCACCCATCCACCCATCCATCCATCCATTGTTCATTTGATAAACACATGTAAGTTACCCACTGGCTCTAGGCAGAGAGCCTGGTTCCTGTAACTCACAGGCTTGCAGTGATAGTCATGTGCCAGCCATTAGCTTCCTTTAGTTTCTTCCTCGTGCCCTTAATTAAGAGTGTCCCTGCCAGGATGCCCTCCACTGCCTTTTATGCTTGTCTAAATCCTTACGTGCAAGGGCCCTGTCTCCCCATCAGGGAAGCTGCCTGAGCTGGCAGAGCTCACTGAGACCTCCTGCTTCTGAATCTTGGCAGCCTGGTTGGCACATGACCCTCAGCCAGTAGGAGCTTGTAGAGTTGTGCAGTTGTCTGCAGAGGCCAGCAGTCCCAGAGCACCTGGGGACCAGGGACTTGCCTTATGCAGCTGACTCTGCCAGAACAAGTACCCAGTTTGGAGCCCAACTCACTGAACTTTAAATCTCAGATCTACCAGGATTTAGCTGTATAAGCATGGACAGTTTCTCTACCTATATCAGGATTGTAATTGATTTAACATTCTTTGAGCACTTCTCTGTGTTCAGAGATTACAAAAAAAAAAAAAAAAATACCAGTTCCATTACTTAAGGAATTTGTAGTCTAATGGGGACAGAAAATTACACTTTGAGAATATCTCTGCCACAGGCTTTTAAGAGGTTAGAATGAAATAATGAGAGCCTTTCTTTCTTCCTCAAATATTTACTGAGCCTCTAGTCTAAGCCAGGCCCTGTGCTGGGTGCTGGGGATTGCATAGCACGTAAAGCAGCAGTGACTCCCTTCCTCCTGGCCTGCCTGCCTGCCAGGCCCAGAGACCCCAAGGAGCCTTGGGAGGCCTGAGGCCCCACCAGCCATCCTGAGAAGCCTTTCGCATGCAAAGGTGATGGCGCCTGCCTCAGTTTGTATTAGGTTGCTTAAATGGGTACATATCCATTGCAAAACTTTGCAAAAATAATTGCTTTTTAAGTAGAAAAAAAATTAGCCTAGTCCCAGATAGTGAACTTTTTCTGGGATTTCTTTCCAGCCTTTGTGTCTACTCACAGTTTTTCCCTGTACAGTTGTGGTTATTCCGTGTGTAGAATTTGGAATTTTGCTTCTTTCCATTAACACATAATTATTCCAAGTCTGTCACATTTTTTTTTTTTTTTTTTTTGAGACAGAGTCTAACTCTGTTGCCAGGGCTAGAGTGCCATGGCATCAGCCTAGCTCACAGCAACTTCAAACTCCTGGGCTCAAGCAATCCTCCTGCCTCAGCCTCCCAAGTAGCTGGGACTACAGGCACGTGCCACCATGCCCGGCTAATTTTTTCTATATGTTTTTAGTTGGCCAATTAAGTTCTTTCTATTTTTAGTGGAGACGGGGTCTCGCTCTTGCTCAGGCTGGTCTTGAACTCCTGACCTTGAGCGATCCACCTGCCTAGGCCTCCCGGAGTGCTAGGATTACTGGCATGAGCCACTGCGCACGGCCTCAAATATTTTACATTTTTAATCATCATGTAGATATATTTAACCAGATACCTATTGTTTGGACATTTAGGTTGTTTCTGATTTTTCACTTTTACAAATAGCACACTAATGAGTACTTTTATAGGCAAAGGTTTTCTGAATATAATACAAAATGCCAGAATTTGGGATTATTTGATTACTGAATCAAAAAGAGTGGATTTCAAGACTTTTGATACTTATCCAAAGCTTTTGCTTTTTCAGAGAGACTGAGGTGTCAGTCTATGCCCAGAAAAGAGTGATAGCTCTGGCGTGTACAGGAGATTAACCAAGCTCCCCCTCAGTGAGTGAACTTGGAGGGGTGGTTCTGACCACTCTGCAGCTTGCTGGCCCCCATGCCCAGAGTCTCTGAGTCATGGGTCTAGGGTGGGGCCCTAGACTCTGCATTTCTAACAAGTTCTCAGGTGATGCTGGTCCAGGGACCACACTGAGAACCACTGACTCAAAACATTATCAATTTTTCAAACTTTCCAACCAAGTAGCCAGTAAAGGTGGAAGGCAATGAACAGGTGCCCCTCAAAATTCATGTTCTTTTCCCAAAGCATCCAGAATTGAGGCAAGACATTTTTTAAATTGTTATTTTCACAAAGTCATATTTGTAGTTGGTTTAAAGAATTAAACAGGACTACGAGGTTTATAACAAACATAAGCAGCCTCCTGACTCCGCTGCTGTTTCTGAGCTCTGCCCCTGGGAGTAAGGCCCTGAAACTCTTTCAACTGCTCCTCCTAAGACCACTCTCGTATTTCTGAACAATATACTTCTATTTCTTGATGTGTGTGTTTGAAGCATTAGTTGTTGGCTCTTTATGATGGAAAATAAGGATATAAAATTCTTCACCCACTATTTCTGTTTTCCAGTACAGCTTCTCACAATTTTTGGTTAAATCATATTTAATGTATACATTATTATATCTATATAAATAATGTTTACTACTGAGCCAAGTGGCATGCAATGATTTTACTCGCAATCTTATTTAACTATGCATTGTTCCTGGAGTCATTTTTCATTTGTTTATTGTTATATATATATGCATTGCTGTCATTCACTCTCCCAAATTCTCCGGATAACTCTCCACATGCTATTTTCCAAATCACCAAATGCAGTAGGAAGTCTATCAGTTCCTATTCGTTTGTTGGTTTCCTGCTGTATTAGTTTCCTAACGCTGCCTTAACAGATTGCCACAAACTTGGCTTAAAACAACAGAAGTGTATTCTGCCACCGTTCTGGAGGCCAGAAGTCTGAAACCAAGGGGTTGGCAGGGTTGGTTCCTTCTGGAGGCCCTGGAGGAGAATCTGTCCCATTTTCAGTCTCCCAGTTTCTGATGGTGGCTGGCAGTGCTTGGCATTTCTTGGCTTGTGGCCACATCACTACCATTTCTGCGTGTGTTTTTACATGGACTTCTTCCTCTGTGTCTCCTCTCCCAGTCTGTTATGGTCTTCTTGTAAGGATGCCAACTCTATTGGAGTAAGGGCTCCCCTATTCCAGTGTGGCTTCATCTTAGCAATTACATCTGCAAAGACCTATTCTGAGGTTCTAGGTAGACACGAATTTGTGGGGGTACACTATTCAACCCATTCTATCTGCCAGTGTTCTTTCTAGAGCTTTCTACCTTCTTGTTTGGTTTGGACTGGTTCTCTAGACTTGCTCGGCTCCCTTCATGCTGAGAATTCCTTTCACTTTCTTTCGCAAATCCTGTTTCTTTTCTTTGTTGTCTCCTTCTCTTTGGTTTACTCTCTAGTTGTGTTGGAGCACATCCTCCAGTATCTGTCTAACAAAGAGTACCTGGCAGACCAGGTGCGGTGGCTCACGCCTGTAATCCTAGTACTCTGGGAGGACAAGGCAGGCGGATCACTCAAGGTCAGGAGTTCAAAACCAGTCTGAGCAAGAGTGAGACCCTGTCTCTACTAAAAACAGGAAGATAATTAATTGGCCAACTAAAATATATAGAAAAAATTAGCCAGTCGTGGTGGCGGATGCCTGTAGTCCCAGCTACTCGGGAGGCTGAAGTAGAAGGATTCCTTCAGCCCAGGAGTTTGAGGTTGCTGTGAGCTAGGCTGACGCCGTGGCACTCTAGCCCGGGCAAGAGAGTGAGACTCTGTTTCAAAAAATAAAAAGAGTACCTGGAAAAAATGTTTTTTGTATTGCATATCTGACAATTTCTTTGTTCAAATTTCACATCTAATTTGTTGTTTTGTTGGCCATAGAACAAGTTGAAAAATCATTTTCCCCTAGAATTTTGACGGTCTTGTGTTTTGCCATCTGGTGTTATGGGGACTGTCAGGCCGTTTTGCTTCCTGAACCTCCTTACTCACTTCTGTCTACCTAAGCTGCAAGACCTTCTCTCTGTAGTTTGAAATGTCACAGGGATGTGCGCTGATGCAGGTCTCTTTTCATCCGTTTTGCTGGCACACGGTGGCCTTTTGATCTGGAAACTCAGGTCCTTCATTTCTTGAAAATGTTCTCATATTATCTACTCGATCATTTCTTTCCCTCTGGTTTCTATCCTCTTTTCTGAAACCCCTTTTAGTCAGATGGTGCACGTCATGGAATCAACCTCTCATTTTCTGATTTCTTTTCTCCTGCTTTTTAGTCCACTGTCTTTTTCTTCTGCTTTCTGGGAGTTCTAGTCTTTACCTTCTAACCCATCTGCTGCATTTTGAATTTTGGTCATCATATATTCAATTTCTAAGCCCTCTTTCTTGTCCTCTGCATGCTCCCTGTTGACAACATCCTGTTTGTGTCTTACAGATGTAATCTTTTCTCTCATCTCTCTGATGCTATTCCTTAGGGTTGTTTGTTCAAGTTCCTTCTGCTCCCCGTATGGTCTGTTTCCTCTTAAGTTCCTTTTCTCTGATTGTTTTGATTTTTGTCTTTTATGTAATGAGATGTCAGTGACCTTGGCTATCTGTTCCTATTTAAGAATGAATCACTTCAGAGCCAACTGCAGTCTTGGGGGAGGGGGAGCTTTTCTCTCTTGAGTGAGACTGGGCTGGAAGTGGCCACTGTGTTGAGGGTGTCCCCAGCACTGCTATCTATAGGCCCTTTGTCCCAGCCTGCTCATTTCCTGTAGAAAAGAATCCTTTAATCTCCTGCCTGGGTGGGAGGTAGAGACTGGCTGCTAGAGGTCTGAAAACTAAGCAGCCTGAGAACCAGGGCTTTTACCATTCAGCCTATAGATGAGTATGTCCATTAGAAGTGCAATCTGAGCCACACATATAACTTTAAATTGTCTATTAATAGTAGCCACAGTAAGCACAGTAAAGAAACTCAGGTGATATTAGCTGCAATAATATATTCAATTTAACCCAGCATAACCAAAATAGTACTATTTCTATGTGTAATTAATATGAAAATTGTTAATGACATATTCTATATTCTTTCATTCGTACTAAGTCTTCAAAATCTGGTATGTAGCTTCCACTTACAGCACAGTTCAGTTGGGACCAGCCACATGTCAGGTGCTCCATAGCCACCTGTGGCAGGTGGTCGCCACACTGGGTGGCACGAGTGGAGACCATCACTTCATTCTCACGTTCAGCAAAGCGCCCCTCCCGCCCTCTGCTAGCCGGAGCCCCAGTTCTCCAGGGCATAATTGCCCAAGAGAACAAGCTCGGTCGGGGATTCACAGCTAACTGTTTGGTCTCGTGTTGGCCACCTGGGGTGGTTACCGGTGTCATATCCAGACCTCCACACCACCCTGCTGTCCAAGCCCTACCCCGCCTCCTGCCCCCTGGCCCTGAGCACCCCGAGGTGCTCTCAGCAGCATCGCCCCAGGCACACGTCCAGGTCAGCTTTCTACCCCTGGGATGTCCGTTGCCGCTGCTCTGCCAGCTTTCCTTGTTCTTAAATGTGTTGACATCTCTCATCCATTCAGCCCTTCCTTCCCAGTCTTTGTGCTTATGGGCCTGTACCATTTCCATTTCCTTACTATTATTTTGGAGGGGCTTCAGGGGGAAGCAGAGATAAATGTGTAAGTTCAGTTTGCCGTGTTTAACCAGCAGTCCGGAAATGTATTTTATCTTCTAAATTCTCATGCCCTTTCTCTTCTCTAGTCTAAAGTGTATTTTTGTTTAAATATGACAGTGACGGCTTACATTACCAGTTACATGGCCAAACTTTTTACAAACCAATATTTGTATAAAATTCATGCTTCTGCCACGACCCGTGTTCACCCCCACCCTCGCTGCCCCCACCACCAGGCAGGTCCCAGTTCGTGAAGGGGCTCCACCAGCTGCCTCCATGGGCCCCACGAGCCTGCCCAGGGGTCCCGTCCCCTCCTTCCCTGCTGAGGTCCCGTGGAGTCTGGCCCAGGCTCCCACGAGACCTCAAACCCCAAGTGGCCTTTGGGAACTGTCTGATCCTGCCTCAGTTCTCAGGACATGCCTGATACTCTTAAAGCATGTGGCTGCACATTTACACAGGATGGCAAAGGGGTTTCCATGGAAACCAAATCTCAGCCGCTGCTCCATACCTGGACGGGGTAACTGATTGTTTTGTTCCTCATCCGTGTGTTGAAAATTGAGTCCTCTCTCCTTTGCCCCTCCCTTTATTTTTAATCCTCAGGTTCTCCAGCCATTTGTGTTGCTTCGTGGGCTATCACCAGGCTCCTTCTGGAAGACGTTGGGTAAGCTATCGGAAGGAGAGGTAATAAGAGCGTATTTGCCCAGGTTTTCAAACGGTATAGATATTTCTTTAGAGCTATGTGGGAAAGGCCTGTTTCTCAAACATTAGGGCCACAGAAGAGCTCTCTGGAGTAATGCCCATCGCTCCCCAGGTATGAGTTTCCAGACGGGCCGCCCTCTCGGCCTTGGCCACACCCGCACCCTCCGGGAACTCCTTGTTTTCTTGCCCACCTGCCAGCTCTGTGCACAGGTCAGGCGCCTCAGAAGAGACGTCAGTCAGGCATTGCTCTGCGGAGGAAGCTCGGGCAGCTTTTCCTTCCTTCTGGGATCTCGCTCCTAGATGCCTCCCTAGCCCTGGGTGTTTAAGAGCCCTGCAGAGCCAGGATCTAAAGAAGTCAGGCTTGAGGGTGGACGAAAGCCCCAGGGACTAGCCTGGAAGTAGGACCGTGGGCAGCAGGTTTGACGGCACTGGGGAAGCAGTGAAGCAGCATGACGCGGTGGGAGTCAGCTTCTCAGGGGGATGAAGACACAACCAGGCCAAGGAGTGGACTAGGTCAGTGAGGACTATAAGTGCCTTATAGTCCAAATTCAACCCCAAATAATTGCTTCAAAATAAATTTTTTTAATTGGCTAAATTCACTTAAAAAAAAAAAACAACTCTATTTTTGGTCTCTCTAGAAAAAAATGGAAAGATCTGTTAACATTTCCCACTTTTCTTTGTAGCAAAAATCAGCAGAACTGTGGCTGCCTTGAACCCCACTTTGCCAAGTTCCCCCTACCCCTGACATGCCCCGACCCTGAGGTCCCATCCAGCCACTTTGCTCACTGCTGTCATCTGCCTGGCCTCTGTCAGCAGCCGACTTGCCTTCATGCTTCCCAGGGAATTCTGCCGAGCTAGCTTTGGGATCTGGGGTCTCACAGACATGCACAGAGACAGGTGGCCACTCCCGGGGGCCCCACAGTGCTCCTGGGTGGCAGGAAAGGGGCAGGCTCTAATGGTGCTGGACACACCACTGCAGCAGCACAGGGCCACAGGCATGGGTCCTTCATAGCAAGGGCCACCCCAGGGAATGTTTTCCTGCTGGCCAGCCCAGCTGCCACTCCTAACCATGCCTGGCTGTCCCTCCCACAGGTGCTGGGACATCAACGCCAATGCATCTATCTGGTGGGTCATTCGAGGGCCTGTGATCCTCTCCATCCTGGTGAGTGGCCATCCTCCCCCCAGCTGGGGGTCAGCAGGAGCAACGGGAACTGGCCTGCAGGAGCAGAGGGCAGGCGGACAGGGCTCCCTCCAGGTGCCAGGAGGTTGGCAAATGGCAGGTGGGAGTGGGGAGGGGGCGGGCTGGAGGCGGGAGCTTGCAGACCTCGCTCTCTTCCAGGAGTAGCAGCTGAAGTGTGGTGAGCAGAACTCCTTGTCCTAAACCAGCTGTCTCCACTGGCCCGAAATTCCACCTTCACTGGTTCAGACACGTGGGTGTTGGTCATTTTCCTAGGCATTCTCTGGTTACCCTGGGACGAGTTGATGCACAGGGACCATAGGAGAAGGCCAAGTGCAGCTGGGGAAGAGTGAGTGAGGCCTGGCCTTTGGACTTGGCAGCCTGGCACAGGCCTGGAGTGGTGGCCCTGGGGCAGAGGTGCAGCCCTTGGGCATCACCTGGGAGCTCTTTAAAAATACAGATAGCCAGACAGTCAGGCTGTCATTGTTCTGGGGAGGGGCCTGGGCACTGGCCTTATTCTTAAGTGCCCAGGTGATTCCAGAGGCACCAAGGTTGACAGCCCTGTAGCCAAGCCCGCGGGTGTAGGTAAGAATAGGAGAACGGGGAAGGGAGGAACCTGTGTCAGGGTGTGTGAGCTAGTGCACACGGGTTTTGAGGAAGATTTCTCCAGACAAAGATTAGGATAGAAAGAAGTTTATTTACTTTTCCTTGGGTGGAAAAGGGCCAACACAGAAGTGAAGGAGGTAGAGAATGTTGGCAGAGAGAACCAGGTGTTCAGGCTTTTAATGTATGGGGTGAAGAAGGTTTATGGCCATAGCCAAATTAACAGGGGACTGCTGCACCTGCTCCGTTCTTCCTCTCGGCAGCAGGACGATAACAGAGACTGCAGCAGGACGTCAAAATCCAAGAGTTGGCTTACCCCCTTTCCTTAGAGACAGGATTATTGCAGGAGATGTGACTCTGCCCTCCAGATACGGCTGAGGCCTGACGCTCGCACCCGCTGCTCACTCAGGAACCTATAAAGGCAGATTCGCAAAGCAATTTTGAAAGAGAGAGATGGGCATCTCTTTTCCATCTGTTCAGCTCTTTTCTGAAATTGTGCAAAACAGAACTTCTGCGGGGTGCCTGTTATTGAGAGGACTCATAGGATTGATCTTTAACTGTTACTAGGAAATTATGGGATTAGATATTTTCCTTGTAAATTTTGCAAGGCTGCCCCTTTCAACATGGGGACATATGGGAGTCATCTCATGGGTGGAATCAGCCCCATAGCTGGAACTAAGGTCCACACGGCTCAGAGGGTACCCAAGGCTGCAGAGCCAGTTGACAGAAAGTGTCCTTCACAGGCTTGCTGGGGTGGGGGTGGAGGGAGGGCACAGGACAGGGTGGCAGGACCTTCCTCTTCCACTGGCTGACTGGGGGCTTCTTGGGCCTGGTTGGGAGGAGGGAGCCATTCCATGGTAACCTTTTCTTACCCCAAAGCAATCAAATTCACACTCAAAAGTTGCAAAATACAAAATGTATTTTTATTTATTTTATTTTATTTATTTTTTTGAGACAGAGTCTTGCTCTGTTACCTGGGCTAGAGTGCCATGGCATCAGCCTAGCTCACAGCAACCTCAAACTTCTGGGCTCAAGCAATCCTACTGCCTCAGCCTACCCAGTAGCTGGGACTACAGGCATGTGCCACCATGCCCGGCTAATTTTTTCTATATATTTTTAGTTGTCCAGCTAATTTCTTTCTATTTTTAGTAGAGATGGGGTCTTACTCTTGCTCAGGATGGTCTCGAACTCCTGAGCTCAAACTCTCCTCCTGCCTCTGCCTCCCAGAGTGCTAGAATTACAGGCGTTAGCTACCACGCCCGGCCCAAAATGTATTTTTAAAAAGGGAATAAAATCACTCATTGTTCTACCACTTAGATACACGTTATGAGCATGTTGTGCTCTTTCTTCCTTCTTTGAACATACATACTTTTCTTTTTCAAAATGCTTAATATACTTTTGTATTAAAGTTGGGTTTTCCCCTCCCTTAGCAATAGATGTGAGATTTCCCAGGTTATTTGAAATTATTTGAGAAACCGGGCCGGGCGTGGTGGCTCACGCCTGTAATCCTAGCTCTCTGGAAGGCCGAGGCGGGCGGATTGCTCAAGGTCAGGAGTTCAAAACCAGCCTGAGCAAGAGTGAGACCCCGTCTCTACTATATATAGAAAGAAATTAATTGGCTAACTAATATATATAGAAAAAATTAGCTGGGCATGGCAGCGCATGCCTGTAGTCCCAACTACTCGGGAGGCTGAGGCAGGAGGATTGCTTGAGCCCAGGAGTTTGAGATTGCTGTGAGTTAGGCTGAAGCCACGGCACTCACTATAGCCTGGGCAACAAAGTAAGACTCTGTCTCAAAAAAAAAAAAAAAGAAACCGATTTGCTGTGGCTGCATAATATTCCTGCAGGAAGCTATTTCCTCATTTAGTTAATTAAGCCAGCCCTGCCGTTATTCTGGGTCTTGGACAACCCAGCCTGGGAGAGCCCCCGATGGGGGTCGACCAGCTCCAGTGTCCAGGGCTGGTTTCAGAGGACTGTGATCTACCTAGTCATTAAGGATGTTGAGTGGACACTCCTGATGCAAAATATCTCCCCATCAACCGGTCATGGAGCCTGGAATTCCACTGTTTAAAAATAGGCTCTTTCTTCAGATCTTAAAGATGCTTTTCTTTTGCCTTCAATTCTTCCCTATTAAATGCAACTCCAAAGCAAACTAAATTAAATTAAGTTGTCCTTATAAGTTGACACCATGCATAGCCAGCTGAGAGCAAGATGCACATAAAAGTTTCTGAGAAGCACGGTTTCCCAAGAAGTCTGGTGGGCAAGGAGTCCTAGACAGCCACTAGTCCTGTGTCTTTGGCAAGCGCTCCCAGGCCCCAGGCAACCCAGGAACAATGAGGGTGCAGGCAGGGTGATTGCACTGATCCCTGTTTCTGTAAAACAGTACTGGAGCAGATGGGTGAGGGGGAGGAGAGATGCTGCCATGTGGGGCAACTTCATAACATTGCTGGGGTTGGGGGGAGGGGACATCAGAAGAAATAAAGACTGCATTCCTGTCCTCAGGAAGTTACGATTGAATTGGCAGATCAGTGGGCACACACATATTTGATAGATGGAAGTATTGGGTCCCTTTAAGATATTTTAACACATTAACTGCCACGTGAGTTGTAATTAACTTATGCTAGTTTTGAGCCCAGGTCCTCGTGAAGCGTATATAACTCACATGTCTCTTCACCTTGGGAGCCACGAGAACTAGTTTTCAAGTTGCATGTAACTCATACACAGAAAACGATAAAAAAAATAACAAATTTTTCATTAAATTAGAAAGGATCGTTTTGTTTTTGAAGTTTTTACTCTATTTTCATAATAAAACACCAGGCCCCAAGGAAAAAAATTATTTTTCTAGTGTGGCAGTCAATGTGTTTAGTGCTCTTACATAATAAATGCAATGAATCAGGACAGGCAAGTAATCAAGGGTGGCTTCCTGGAGCTGGCGATTGAGCTGCAGACTGGCCCCTAGACCAGCAGCATCAGCATCACCAAGGAGTTTGTTAAAAATGCCAATTCTTGGCCCCCACAACAAACTTACTGAGCCATAGCCTATAGGAGCCCAGCAACCTGTACCCTAAAGTTTGAGAACCACTGCTGCAAAGCTGATCAACTCTGGCATTACCTGGGAGCTTGTTAGAAATGCAGAATCTGGCCCGGCACAGTGGCTCATGCATGTAATGCCAGCACTCTGGGAGGCCGAAGCAGGAGAATCACTTGAGCTCAGGAGTTCCAGACCAGCCTGAGCAAGACCGATAACCCCCCTTCGCCCCCCGCCCCCCATGTCTACTAAAAATAGAAAAATTAACCAGCGTTGTGGTGCGCACCTGTAGTCTTAGCTACTCGGGAGGCTGACTGAGGCAGGAGGCTTGAGCCCAGGAGTTTGAGGTTGCTGTGAGCTGTGATGACACCACAACACTCTAGCCCAGGCAACAGAGCTGGACCCTGTCTCAAAAACAAAACAAAACAAAAAACAGAATCTCAGCCTCTCACACCCACCCCAGACCTGCATTTTAACAAGTTCCCCAGGGAATTCCAGCACTCTGCAAGCGTGAGCGAGCTGCCCTGAACTCTGCAGGCCGGAGAGTGCCCGCAGCCCAGGGATGGGAGTGCGGACTCCAGACAGGTTGTCTCACCAGGACTCTGGGGGCGCAGGTGGGCAGCAGTGGTGTGCCATCCTGGCTGTGGCATCTGCAATGCCTTCTCTGCTCTCAGGTCCAGGGGACAGGGCCAGGAGAGATGGCTGGGAAGGCAAGACACACTCAGCCCCACCTCTGCTTTGTGTTTGCAGATTAATTTCATCCTTTTTATAAACATTCTAAGAATCCTGATGAGAAAACTTAGAACCCAAGAAACAAGAGGAAATGAAGTGAACCATTACAAGTAAGTGGAGCCCAAAGACCTAGGCATGCTCAGGCAACAAGCATTTACTGAGCACCTACTGTTTACTCAACTGGTGCTGGCTGTTGGAGATGGAGGAAGAAGAAAAGCCATGGACCCAGTTCTAAGAAAATGGGGGCAGGTGGGAGAAATGGGTCTGACTGTGAAGCCTCAGACACTGTGTGTGTGGGGGGAGGGGGGCTGGGGGCAAGGCTGGGGAATCCGAGGGTAGGCTTCAGGGACCCAAACTCAGACGATGCGTAGGTACTACATGTGTATTTTTCACGAGAGAATGACCTTAGTTTTTTTAAGGAGATGTGTGATCCAAACATACTTAAAACCTTTAAGACGTTAAAGAGTGATGTGCCAGTGTGCTAGGGCTGCCATAACAAAATGCCACAGACTGGGTGGCTCAAACAACAGGCATTTTTCCCACAGTGCTGGAGGCCAGAAGCCCAAGACCGAGGTGTTGACAGGTTTGGTTTCTTCTGAGGCCTCTCCTTGGCCTTGCAGAAGGTCACCTTCTCACTGTGCCCTCACGTGGCCTTTCCTCTGGCATGGTCACCCGTGGTGCCTCTCTGTGTGTCCCAATTTCCTCTTCTTATAAGGACACCAGTGGATTAGATTAGAGCTGTCAATGGAAAGGTAGCCAAACTCTGTAAAATAATTTAAGGAGGTTTATTCTGAGCCAAATTTGAGGAAGAAGACCCGGAGCCACACCCAAGAAGCCTTGAGCAAGTGGACTCCTTGTGGTTGGGGTACAGTTTAGTTTTATACATTTCAGGGAGATGGGGGTTTACGGGTAAAGTTATAAATCAATACATGGAAGGCGTACATTGGTTTGGCTGAAAAAGGTGGGCCATCTCTAAGTGGGGCCTTTACAGGTTATAGGTGGGTTTAAAGACTCTTTGATTTGTAATTGGTTAAAGAAATGAAGCTTTTGTTTTAAGACAAGGAAGTTGGCTGATGAGAAACAAGCCTGGAGACATACATTCGTTGTGTAAATTGAGGACCTGCAGGGTCTTGCATACCCTTAGCCCTGTCCATGAGTCACAAAGGATGTCTCCAAGAAGGGAGGGGACATGATGAGGCATGTCTGACCTCCCTCCTCCTGGCAGGCAATTCAGTTTTAGGGCATCCCCTTGGCCAGGAAGGGGTGGGAGTAAAGCCTGAAGATTTTATTGTAGTCCAGAGAGCCCCTGCTAAAGGCCTCATTTTACTTAGTCACCTCTTTAAAGACCCTACCTACAAATACGGTCACATTCTGGGAAACTGGGGATTAAGGCTTCAACATATGAAATTGGGGAGTGCGGGGCACAATGCAGCCCATAACAAATGCTAAAGACAAACGAGTGTCCAATAGAGGCTTTTCCCACGGTGTTTTGAATTCGAGAGCCTGGCAGTGGCCCAGGTTATGTGGCGTCAGATTTCCTTCCAGGTCTCTCCAGACACAGGCTCTAACGTTGGGTGGTGCTAGGGGTCGGGGATGTAGTTGCCAAATGCAACACAGGATGCCCAGTTACGCTTACATTTGGGTAAACAACAAATAGTTTTCTATTTGTACTTATACTATTGTACTTTTTGTACGATTGTACTTATACTATTGTACAGTATTGTATTGTACTGTATATTTGTACTTATACTATTTGTACTTATACTCCCCCAAAGTTTCCATTGTTTATCTGAAACTCAAATTTAACTGGGCATCCTATGCTTTTCATTTGCTAAATTTGGCAACCCTAATCTGGGAAAAAAATACAAAACCTTCTCCTTATAGATATTATCTAACAAACAAGAAAGCAGGCTTTGCTCATACAGCGTTAGACATAGAGTGGCCACACTTATAAATAAATGAAGTTATTGAGGTGGGTGCTGATTTTTTTTTTTTTTTTACTGATAGAGGTATGTGATCAGAAAGTTCTGGGATTGGCCATGAGTTGATAAGTGTTGTATGTGGGAGATGGGTACATGAGAGTTAGTGTTAGGGACCGACCTTCCACAGCCCCACCGGACAGAAAAGCAGAGACATCGAGGATGCAATCACACAAGAGGAGGTTTATTTTCTGGCTAGCCAGGGTCCAAGCCCCAGAGCACCAACGCAGTGGCCACTCTCACAGGCAAGGACCCCGACTGGAACAACGGCATGCCTTTTATCCCCACGGTGCACAAGCTGCGCACAAGCCGACTACGCATGGATCATGCGTTGACCTTTAAAATGATTGGTTGCCCACTATTGCCTTTTGAAATAATTGGCGGGTTGGTTGCCCTCTATTGCCTGATGGGCCAGTCGCCTGTGCTTCAATGACCTCATCCCATAATTCCCCTTACAGCGGTGTAGCAAGCAAGCAATGACCAGAAGCAAAGGTTTGCGGTTAGCTCACTGCCCCACCCAAGTAAATTCCCGACAATTGGAAGAATTCTTCTGCCCTTCCTCTGTCCTACAAATTCCTCTGCCCTACATTAGAAATTTTCCAAAATAAAAAGTGAAAACAGAAACCTTTGGGGACACTGTTGCCAAGCCCCAGCCATCGGCCTGAGCTGGGAGTGGCAAAGCCATGTGCCTGCGGGAGGGGTGGGGGCGGGAGGGCGCTGAGCAGGAGGCAGCAGTGCAGTCTCTGTCCCCAGGCGGCTGGCCAAGTCCACCCTCCTGCTGATCCCCCTCTTTGGCATCCACTACATCATCTTCGCCTTCTCCCCAGAGGACGCCATGGAGATCCAGCTGTTTTTTGAATTGGCCCTTGGCTCATTCCAGGTAAGTGTTAGGGGCAGTGACTGTGAGCTGAAAGGAGGAGTTCTCTCTGTCCTTAGAGAGAAGTGGAGGCCAGCGAGACAGCAAGCCAGGTACTCCTGAAGTCCAGTGGACTTGGGAAGGGGGATGCCGCATTTGGCAGAGACCCAGGGGAAGGAGCGGTAGGACCTGACTGCGCTGTGCGACCCTGAGCGGGACCCATGACCCCATGAGTTGCATGGAGGTGGGAGGTAAAACAGAGACTGCCAGGTGCAGTGGCTCAGGCCTGTAATCCTAGCATTCTGGAAGGCCGAGGCAGGAGGATCGCTTGAGCCCAGGAGTTTGAGGTTGCAGTGAGCTATGATGATGCCACTGAACTCCAGCCTGGGCAACAGAGTGAGACTCTATGTCAAAAAACAAAACAAAACAAAACTGAGAGACGAGGGATTGACTCCAGGGAGAACAAAAAGGAAAAGAACCCCAGAACACTGTGTTACACAGACCTCAACAGCATATCCATGGTCAGAGTGACGTCAGTTCCCACAGCTGCATAGACCAAGCAGGAAGATGAGCCATGGGGGAGGGTGTTTGAAAGACAATATCCTGCATCTTCATACTGGGAAGTCCGTAGAAAATGCCCCAAACCAAAAACTCCAGAAGTAGCAACATCAGCATATTATTTAGGATCAGTTAAGAGAGTTTCAAGCAGTAGTTGCGTCTGAGGAACAGGAAATGGGGGCAGGGGTGACAGGAGGCTGTTGGGTTTTGTAACAAGAATCATTTGACTCTTTAAAACCATGTGCATACATAAGTTATTAATAATAATTATTAACAACACACGTTATTAAAACTAAAACATAACTTAAAAAAATAAAGAGAGGTAGAAAATCACCTACCTACTAATGCAACAAGATATTGTGAGGCTATAAAAAAGTAAATGTATTTGCACAGAGGGAGCCTTAACATGAATCCCAAACTTCACAGTGTCATTTGTTTATCTACTCAAAGCTATTTCCTTCCAAAAATAATGTGATGTTGCTTTCAGGAAAAACATATAGAAGATAAAAATAAGTAGATGAAGGATCAGTGAAGAAAAAAGAATACAAAGATGGTTGAGGCTGAGCACGGTGGCTCACACCTGTAATCCTAGCACTTTGGGAGGCCAATGCAGGTGGATTGCTCGAGGCCAGGAGTTAGAGACCAGCCTACGCAATAGCAAGACCCTAGCTCTACAAAAAATAAAAAAATATTGCTGGGTGTGGTGGTGCATGCCTGTAGTCTCAGCTACTCAAGAGGCTGAGGCAGGAGGATCACTTGAGCCTGGGAGTTGGAGGCTTCAGTGAGCTATGACGACACTACTACACTCCAGCCCCAGCAAAAGAGTGAAACCCTTTCTCAAAAAAAAAAAAAAAAAAGATGATTGAGTTTATACACACAAAGAAATTTGATAAAGTCCTATAAAGGTGGGAGAGCTGGGTCATAAGTTTGGTTTGGAGCTTCCCAGTAGCCAAAGCAAAGACAAACAATCTGTTTCGGCCAGGCAAGGTGGCTCATTGTAATCCTAGCGCTCTGGGAGGCCGAGGCGGGAGGATTGCTCGAGGTCAGGAGTTCAAAACCAGCCTGAGCAAGAGCAAGACCCTATCTCTACTATAAAGAAAGAAATTAATTGACCAACTAATATATAGAGGAAAAATTAGCTAGGCATGGTGGCACATGCCTGTAGTCCCAGCTACTCGGGAGAATACAAAGATTCTCCCGAGGCAGAAGGATTGCTTGAGCCCAGGAGTTTGAGGTTGCTGTGAGCTAGGTTGATGCCACGGCACTCACCCTAGCCTGGGCAACAGAGCGAGACTCTGTCTCAAAAACAAACAATCTGTTTCAAGATTTATGGTTATCTGTAAGACGAAGACAAACAAATGGCCACAGGAAGCCCCGTTGTTATAGGCTCTGGGGCCTGATAGAAAGTTCTTCCAATGGGTTTTCCTAAAGGAGTTTGCCCATCCTCAACAGTGTTTCCACAGTGGAATAGTATTGTCCAGCAGAGCCTGCACTGGGGAGGCCCCAGCCTCAGGATGCTCCCCTCACCCCCAGAGCTCTGTTCAGGGCAGGGTCCTTCTCTTCCAGGTTCCAGGGAGGATGCATGGCAATACATCTTGGAGCAGAACCAAGTCTTGCCCTGTCCACTTTCAGACCCCACCCCAGAGTGTCCCAAGACCCCCTGCCAGCGACCCAGACCTCCAGAGAACCCAGCCTCTTGCCTAATCCATGATTCTTTTCCTCTCGGCCAGAGAGCCAGGGAGCTTTCTCCACCTCTTGTAACCTCCAGCGAGGCCGGGCTCACAATGGCCCATTTAGCAGGTAGGGGTGTGAGGTCCAGTCAGGTGAAAGCACTTGAGCAGGCTCAGAAAAGGGACCATGCTGAGACCTTGGAGACCAGGTCTGCCTTTCCATAGATGGGGACTTCCTGTGCCCCTCAGCTGGGGCATGTGATTGGGTTGTGAGCCAGCTCCCTGGGAAAATCTTTTGTCAAGCAAAAACCAAAAACATTTCCTTGATGTTCTTATAGGAAAGTTTCTGAAGAAAAAGTATCTTTAAAATTTTATCCATACTTATGTATGTATATGTTCTCTCTATATATACACCCACATATAAATAAAACACATCAGTGCACTCTAGCTGGGGCAACAGTGTGAGACCCTGTCTCTAAAAAAAAAAAAAATACTTTTTCAGAGTTGGGCATGGTGGCACCCTGTGCCTGTAGTCCCAGCTACTTGGGAGGCTGAGGCGGGAGGATTGCTGGAGCCCAAGAGTTCAGACCAGCCTGGGCAACATAGGGAGACTCAGTCTCTAAAAATAAAATTAAAAAAATAATAATATATATATATGCACACACACACATATATGTACATATTCTTCATTTCTCATTCTTAATGATCAAATAACTAGAATTTAGTAAACTTGCTGGGTTGTGTGAGGCCGGCCCTGATACACTTGGAGCACAGCTAGCTCCCTCTGAGCAGCAAAAGTGCGCCCTTGGGCCGGGCGCGGTGGCTCACGCCTGTAATCCTAGCTCTCTGGGAGGCCGAGGCGGGCGGATTGCTCAAGGTCAGGAGTTCGAAACCAGCCTGAGCAAGAGCGAGACCCCGTCTCTACTATAAATAGAAAGAAATTAATTGGCCAACTGATATATATATATATAAAAATTAGCCGGGCATGGTGGCACATGCCTGTAGTCCCAGCTACTCGGGAAGCTGAGGCAGAGGATCGCTTGAGCCCAGGAGTTTGAGGTTGCTGTGAGCTAGGCTGACACCACGGCACTCACTCTAGCCTGGACAACAAAGCGAGACTCTGTCTCAAAAAAAAAAAAAAAAAAAAAAAAAAGTGCGCCCTTGGATCCCAGAGTAGGTGAGACCTAGGCACGCTGCTGGCTCTGAGCCAAGAACACAGAGCTCCAGTCATGCTAACCCCCTCTGTGACTCAGTTACCTCACCTGTAAAGTGGGGATCCTCCTACCTCCCTCGAAGGGCTTTGTCGAGGATTAAATGCAGCCCCTGGAACCCAGAATCCTACAGTTACTCAGGCCTGTGCTCCTTGTCCAGTTTTGTTTTATTTGAAGGCCTGCCTTGAAGTGCTTCCCAGTCCCCCTCTGACAGTGGCTCCCAGATGGTGGAACTGTCTGGGGATCTTCACAAGCTGCTGATGCTCTTGCCCCCAAACATTCGGATTTGGGGAGTGTGACCTGGGCCAATGCTCCCAGGTGATCCTAATGTGCAACAAGGTTTGGAAACCACTGCCCTGAGTAAGTGTCCCTGCCCCTTGGTAGTCCTCATTGTATGTAGCAATCACTGATGCCTGAGACTCTGAGCAAACCTTTCTAGTTTTGTCAGTAACTCTTGCTGAAATGCCAGTATCCCTGAGCAGCCGTACACATTGAGCCCACCGTAGACTTAATCCAGAGGGTTGGTTCATCGCCTCTTAGGGTCCTTTCCAATGTGCTAAGTAGCTACAGGCAGGCCTGGGTGGGACTAGGGAGGAGGGTTGGGCCACCTAAGGTCAAAGCTGTGGCGCTCAGGCCTCTGTGGGGGAAGCTGGGGGCAGTCCTGCAAGACAGGTGGCCTGGGGTGCGTCCCTGAGAGAGGTGAGCAGGGAGGACACGCTGCAGAGACGCTGCTTCCTGCCCTTTCTCGGGCTCTTTGGCTCGAATTGGGTGTCCCAGACTGGAGTCCCTGCCCCGCAGAGCTCCATGCCAGGATCCTGGGGGCACCATCGGGAAGACAGGGAGCTCCAAATACCAGGGAGGGAGGGTCCTGAGAGACACAGACGCCGACATGCCAGGGAATATAAAGTCCTGGCCATGGAGATGCATCCACTGGTCCATTAAGCAGGGAGGTCAGACCCCACTGCTGGCCGGCTGGGACCTGTGCCTAGTCTGTTCTGACCACATGTTAGCTTTTCAATTTGAATTTTTGTCCATGTTTAAACGGCTTCAGATTTCCAGTTTATCTTGAAAACAAGACCATGCTGGGTGGGCCCAGGGACACCCTGGGTGGACCACACTCTCCACCTCCCGCTGGGGTGGGCACACTTCGGTGCTGCCACCTCCTGCTTTCCCAGGGGGCTCACCTTACTCAGGTGAGCTGCCCGGCCCCATCAGCCCAGACACCAGGGACAACAGATGAGAGGGAGCTGTCCTTGGCCCCGAGTTGCTCAGTGTAAGCCGGGTGCGCAGGCGCAGCCAGGGGTGCTGTGGGCAGCCCCCAGGAGGTAGCCCAAGCTCCCTTGAGGTAAGAGAGGTAGGGAAGTGAGCCTGGAGCCAGTGATTAAGGACTTGGGGAGGAGGCTGGCCAGCTGTCCAAGCTGGGTGCCAAAGCACCTACACTAACCCCTGCTGCCTCTGCTCCCCTTGCAGGGACTGGTGGTGGCTGTCCTCTACTGCTTCCTCAACGGAGAGGTAAGTGATCTTGGTTGCTTGGATGCCTGGGGAAGCTCCTAGCCACTAGATGCTGGTTCAGAAGGAGCCACCTGGGAAGCATAGTGGGGAGGGGGGCAGAGGGAGGCCCGGGCCTCAAGGCAAGGTGCTTGGCTATTCTTGTAGGAGTCTGAGCTCACTTAATAGGAGTAGCAGAATCACCCAGTAGGCTTGTTAAAACAATTGCTGGACCCCACTCTCAGTTTCTGACTCAGCAAAAGTAGATTCTGTAGGTCTGGGCTGGGGTCTGAGAAAATGTTTTTTAACAAGCACTCTGGGTGATTCTTATCCATGGGCAAGTTCAGGAAACACTGGAGTAAGTACAGGCACCCCAGTGAGAACCCAGGCTCTACTGCCCTGCTGCTGGCTTGACGGGTGATCTCAGTCACTGCCCTTCTCTGGCCTCAGTCTTCCCATGTGGCAAACAGGCAACTTGGAAGAAATGTCTGCAGCTCAGTCCCCCGAGACCACCAATGAGTGTTGGCCCCTCAGGAGACTGCACACCCACTTTGGGGACTCTGGCCTTGCACAGAGCCTTTGGGTCAGGACACGAGGCTCCGAGCACACAGAAAAGCTGTGTAATCAACACTAGCTACAGTACTGCACACAAGTAAAGCCTTTCTGTGACTGTTGACCCACTATGTGGTTTGCCACACTTGAATGGGAATGACCTCTGATGTTTCCCAAACGTCCATTATCAAGCCTAGCCTCAGAGGTTGGGCTGTTCCATTTGGGGATTGTGAACAAATTTCCAAGAGTAACTCCCTAGGTCCCAGATAAGCTCTGAGCTTGGGTGCCTTCGTGGGAATAAGTATCCAGTTGTCCCAGGTACAGATCTGGATGTACGAGTTCTATAGTTTGTGAAACAAACCACAAGTCCTTTTGTTGGGACACAATGTAATGAGATCCCAGGTGTCAGTGCCTGGGGTAGAGTGTCCCTACTGGACAGAGGGCCTGGAAATGGTCTGAGTGGCCTGCAAGTGAGGGGACAGCAGGACCACTGGGCAGGAGTGGCAGGGCCTGTGCAGAGGCCCCAGGGGAGTGTGTGGGGCTCTGGGCACAGGGCTGTCCTCCTCTGGGCTGATGGCTGGTCTCTGGGGCAGGTGCAGCTGGAGGTTCAGAAGAAGTGGCGGCAGTGGCACCTCCATGAGTTCCCACTGCGCCCCGTGGTCCCCCGCTCCTCCTTCAGCAATGGCACCAAGGCCAGCACCTCGGAGCAGAGCCAGAGCACCTGCAGGGGCAGTGTCATCTGAGAGGCTGGAGTGGGGACACCATGGACAGAGGCTAACGTGGCTCCTAAGAGGGCTGGACGCTGATCCGGGACAGCCCATGTTCCCAGCGGACACCCTGTGTTCTCTCCTGTGTGGGCGATGCCCCTCCCCCAGGCCTTGGATTCCTAAGAACTGAACAGAAGGGACCTGGGGCACCATGGCACAGGACTGGGCTTGGGATTTGGTCTGTTTGCTCTTCTGGGAAGAGCAGCTCAAGGGACCCTAAAGGCAGCAGGGAAATAAAAGCCCTTGGCTCCAGGCAAATCCTGTCTATCACTGCAATTCACCTGTATAGTGGCTCTCACCTGAGTTAAATCAATCTAGTAAAGTCACAGTGGAGGTCAGGGCAGCCCGAGGGCCCCCAGCCCCTTTTAGTATCCCTGACAGGGTATGAGGCACACCCCTGTTCTTCCTGCTCTTTTATAGCTGTCCTCAGCCTGGGAGGCAGGTGTAGCAGAAAATGAGATGGGATCATATTTTACAAATGAGAAACAGGTCCACCAAGATCCTATACTCACCCAAGCCACTCAGCAAGGAGGTGGAGATTGGATCTCAAATGCCCATGCTCCCAGGCAGGGAAGGACAGAGGCCCGTCTCCTGCCCCACCAAGCTCTTAGGGACTTTTGTCTCACCCTGCACTCTGGCTCTCAGTTCTTCTGAGTATCTGGACTCCCTGCCCCCAAGTGGGGATGAAAGAGGACTAAATATTTGAACCCTTTCAAAACACAAAACCTGCTAGTGCTCAGGGTGTGGCATTCTGGAAAGCAGAGATAACTCCCCCCAGTGTTGAGGGAAAAGCATCTTGCTTGTGGGTGGACCAACTCTAGTCCTGGCTTTGGGTGACCCTGGACAAGTGTGTCCCTCTCTGGGCCCTGGCTCCCCACCTCCCCTCCCTCACTGACCTCCTCCACTCCTTAGAGACTGCCCAGCTTCCCACTTCCCAGGCTAAGGTGTGGCCTGTGGGTCAATGAGCTCTGCTCGCTGCAGAACTGAGCAGTCCACGGACACCCTTCTGGGGTGATCAGGACTCTGCCCAGTCTTGGAGTCCACGCCTTACACCTTGGAGCCACACTGCCTCCCAACTCTGTGCATTTTGAATAACAATCTTTAAAAATCACAATAGCGGTAAGTTGTAGTTACTCAGCCCAGCCCAGGAAAGGGACCTGCAGTGACAAGGGCAGGAAGAGACCAAAAACCCCATGCAATCCATGGGAGCTAGAATGCAGAGAAAGCCAGAATTTACCCAGTGGGGGAATGGAAGGGGCCTGTGTAGAACAAAACGGGCTGAGGGCAAAGACCTCACCTACTTCTGGGCAGAAAAGGAACTAGAAAGGGAGCAACTTGAACAAAAACACAGAGCTATTGGCAAGGATGGAAATCTCCACTGGTCCCCGGCCCCCTTCACCTCCACTCATCCCAGGACAGCTGTTAATCATTACCCAGGGCTGGCTGTCCCCTCACCCCCTGGGAGTCCAGCAGGTCTAGGTACGTGCTCTTTGAAATGTATTCTAGGATTGGAAATGGTACCCCGAGGCTGCAGTCTGACCCCTACAGAAGAGGAACACACACACACACTGGCCTTGGGGAGGACTGTGTATTCAGAAGTCAGGTGGGCTCCTGGGAGGGCTTGCTCTAGAACTCTTCTCGAAGGAGAAAGAAAACCCACCTTAAGGCAGGATTCTGACAGGCAGAGTCCCCAGCAGGGACAGCCAACTGCTAGAAGCTGGGGTTATCCATGGGTTGTGAGGCTCCCATAAAGGGCAGAGGTCAAACCAAATCAAATGGCCTGAAAACTTCTACGTGTAAGACATTCTGGGGGAATCTTGAACTCTGCCTCCTTGACAAGCCAAAGCTAAAGCCAGTGACATATGCATGAAGGCCCTTTCAGCTGGTGGAAGAAAGTCCTAGGCACTGAGTGGACCCTTAGCTGCAAGAATGACCCAATTCTTAGCAAGCCTGGGCACCCCTGGGATCCCACAGCCCATATTCCAGCACAGTGTCAATAAAACAGGCGTGAACCGGCTTGGCTGTGCAGCTGGCCCAAGCACCAGTTACGCTGCTTCCAAATCTATTCTGGTCCAGGGAAGAAAACTCAAGAAAAGTTCTTAAATGTTTTTCTTCTTCTATAATCAATACCCTAATAACGTGGGTAAGGCTGGTGGTACCAATGCACCCTCCTGGCCTCCAGCCCTGCAGACCAGCTGCAGAGGCCCCTGGGCCACTTCTGGCCGACCACCCAAAGGTTATCGGCTAAGAGGCAGCAGTTTCAAGGTCATTGTCCCACCCCAGCCCACCAGAGGCCACATGTTCGAAAAGTCCCATCCCAACCACACTTTCTTGTAGAACCTGATGTTCCTGGATGGGGGCGCGGGGGGAGCTAAAATTTCGTTGGTTGTTGCCAGGGCTGGGTGATGCTGTTGACGTGAAGGCCACTGATGGCGTTCAGGAAGAAGAGAAAGGAGGCAGTGAACTCGCACCAGAACATCAGGGTGAAGCCGATGAGCGTGACCTGGTTTCTGAGCAGGATCACAAAACTCAGGAGACCCCCGAAAGACAGGATGAAAGAGACCAGGAGGAGGACAGAGCCCATGGCCCACTTGCGCCGCGAGTGGACATCGTCATACACCTGGGACACCATGAGGAGCTCCAGGCCAAAAATGGCGGCCACCACGGCCAAGGCGCCCACGGTGCGGGCCAGGCCCACGCCCACGGCCAGCCTGGGCACGTGGGCCTGACCCAGGTCTCTGAGGCAGCGCGGCTCGCTCTGGTTGGTGGCGGTGCAGTAGTGCCACAGCCCGAACAGGCGGTCCCCGGCCAGCAGCCAGCGCCCGTCGCAGATGGAGACGGAGGACAGGACCACGGCCAGGGAGGCACACGTGATGATGAGGGTCCGGATGAAGGATTCAAAGAAGGACCGGCGGGGCCTCCTTTGGCCCAACAGCCTCTGGGCCTGGAAGACACCACAGGAAGCACCGGGTCAGTGAGGGCCCTGCAGCCCCTCCAGGAAGACCCCGGAACGCTCTCCCGCTCTCACAGCCAGTTCTCTCTGGTCTCACCGAAGCCTGGGCGCCCCCCTCTCCTCGCGGCTTCCACAGCACAGACCCACCTGCCCTGGGGAGCCCTTCCCCCCTCCACCTGCCCTGCCCTCCACCCTAGACTGCTAGCGTTTACAGTCCAGGGTTCACCACGCACGAAGAGTTCCGTGACCTTTCTTCCTTTCACGATCTTTATACTGGGTGAGAAATCCACCGGACCGGCAAATTCAGAAACCTTTGACTGGCTCCGGCGACCCTGAACATGCAGCCGGCCTAGGTTTCTTTGTGTGTAAAACAAGAATCCTGCCTGGCAGGGCTGGAGGGTGTACCAAGCGTATAAATACAAGGGCCCCTCCACCTCCCCAGGACACGGTCATTCTGTCCTGACCCCCGCCCATCTGATCCCACACCCCGCCTTCAGTGCAGGACTCCATGTTGCTGCTTCCTTTCCGTCTGTCCTCAAAGTGATTTTGCACCCTGCCCTGCAGACTTGCACAGCCTGCACCTCTCCCAGAGCCTGCCAGCCAAACTGTTCTGGCAGCTTCTACATGTGGGGAAGCCACTGCGGCTCTCCTTGGCCTCTGGTGCAGCCATGGAGTGGGGTACCCCCACCTCGGTCTCTTGGCAAGCCCGGCTAGGTGTCTAGTGAGAAGTATCTTATTTCCCAGTCCTGGGACACCACCTGGGCACCAATCCCAATCCCTGACCCAGAAAACAAAAGAAAGAAATACTTCAAAGAGTAAAACTCCTTACACAGCCCACAAGCCTGCACAATCCATCCCCCTCAAACTTCAGCTCCCAGCGAACTGCCGCACGCTCAGGCACAGCAGCCCTGTTCCCATGCCTAGAACTCTCTTCCCTCAGACCTACTGGCCCCTTGGCCTGAAAAGGCTCTTCTGCAGCTTCCTCTGCACCTCCAGGATGACTCCTCTTCTCTATTCTTCACGTCTCAGCCTAAAGTCTCCTCTGCGGCGAGGTCTTTCCTGCCCACCCAGCCCAAAGCAAGTCCCTCCTGGTATTCTGCGTCAGGCAGCTGTTCGTTCCCTTTGCCATTGTGACTACTGTCTGTAATTACGTATTGTTGTCTGTCTCACCCAGACACTATGTTCTCCAGGAGGCAGGGCCCCTGTGTTTGGCCACCACTGTGTCCCCAGTACCCGGCAGTGTTTGACCTGGGCATTCAGTGGGTGCTTGGGGAAGAGCTGTGGAATAAATGACAGGTCAAGTTCACAACCACTGTCATTTCTACCTGCAGCAACCTTCAAACCACGTCTCCTGCCCAGTCATAAATTACATCATCCTCTTTACAGCGTGTATAGAAAGAAGCAGCCAGGCTACATCTCAGTTTGGGAGGTAAAGCAAAGCAGTCCCTGCTAAGAAACCAGAGAATGGAGAAATGAGGACCTTGGAGGGTGCACCCCAAGCCATGTGCCAATGGAGTCTTCCAGAGGCAAGTCTGGGCCACATGTCTCCCTGAGGGACATAGAGCAAAGCCTTGCTCCTGGGAGACTCCTGTGGCCAGAGCCCAGCAAGCCTGTCTGCAAACATGCCACAGATGCAGGCACTACTGCTGATTTCAACACCAGGGATACAGGAATAAGGATGCAGTTTGCTTTCAGCACTGCTAAGTAGGATCCTATTTTATTCTCAAACCTGTGAGGCTGGTGGAGTACGAAGCTATGTTAGGGGTACATAAAGAGGGAAACTATTCCAAGGGCAGGTGACTTGCCCAAGTTCACTCACCTAAATCACAACAACACTTGTTACAGATGCCCAGACAATAGTATAATGTGCAGGAGGTGGATCCATTCAGCTAATACATACTGGTTCTCAAATTGTGTCCCCTTGCTTCCAGGATGGGTTGTAGGCACTGAAGCAGCGGTGCTTAGGGAAGCTGAGCAGGCTGGCTCTGGGCCCTCTTCCTCACTTCCTCCACCACAGACCCCTGCAACCTGCTCGAGACCCTAGGGGTCCAAGAATCTGTATCACATTTTATTACAAAAAAAAAAAAAAAGATATATTGGTAAGAAACAAATCAAGGGCCAGGCATGATGGCTCGCGCCTGTAATCCTAGCACTCTGGGGAAGCCGAGGCGGGCAGATTGCTCAAGGTCAGGAGTTTGAGACAAGCCTGAGCAAGAGTGGGACACCCTCTCTACTAAAAATAGAAAGAAATTAGTCGGACAACTAAAAATATATGGAAAAAATTAGCCAGGTATGGTGGCGCATGTCTGTAGTCCCAGCTACTCAAGAGGCTAAGACAAAAGGATTGCTTGAGCCCAGGAGTTTGAGGTTGTTCTGAGCTCGGCTGATGCCACGGCACTTTAGCCCAGGCAACAGAGCAGAATTCTGTCTAAAAAAAAAAAAAAAAGAAAAAGAAACAAACAAATCAAAAAAACCTTTGAAAACTTCTGTGTCTACTCTACAAACCATTAGAGGGGTTTGTCCTTTGCCCCCTGCTTTCTCATCTATAAAATGAAGTTGGTGACACCTGCAGGAAAGCAGTAGCTAGGAAAGCACCTGGCAAGGTTACAACGTCCCTAGAGATTGACATGGTCCCAGGAGGGGAGAACCCCAGAAGCAGAGAACAAGTCACAAGACCACAGTGCCCAGAAGCCTTTTAACTCTAGACACCAGGCTGTCTGGAAAAGAGGCACATACTGTCCCTTCCTCAGCCCCACCTGTCCTGGACACAGACTGGACTTTCATCTCCAGGCCCTCAGACATCGTGTTGGGATCAGAAAGCAAAGACAGCTGACCTCCTTTCATCTTTCCCGTCCCGTCCCAAAGCAGAGCTTCGTCTAGACTCTCTGTCCACCACTAAAACTCCCAAGGATTAGAGGAGATCGTGTATATAAAGATGCGCGTGGGCAGCTATAAATAATATTAATAACACTACTAACACATATTGGAACCTTCATTCCTAACCATTGGGCACCGCACCCCATGTTGTGG